AGAAAGAGAATGAGGAAATCAAAGTTTGACGAGATCGAGGAGATTTTAGTTCGATGGTTAAAGCATGCAAGATCGCAAAATGTGCCTATTTCTTCCGTCATTCTTAAAGAAAAAGCGATGGAAATTGCTAAGGAGTTGAACATAGAAGATTTCCATTGCAGCAATGGTTGGCTGGAGCGTTTCAAGGACAGAAATAGTCTTTCTTTTAAAACGATTTGTGGGGAAGCCGCAGCTGTTGATGGTGATGCTATAGAAAATTGGAGTGACAGTGTTCTCAAGGACATTTTATCCAGGTTTGATGCCTCGAATGTTTTTAATCTAGATGAAACGGGCTTATTTTATCGTCTTTTGCCTGATAAAACTCTATCGTTTAAGGGTGAAAAATGCACCACTGGAAAAGCCAGCAAGCAACGTCTAACACTTTTGCTGGGAGCGAATATGAATGGAAATGAAAAGCTTAAACCACTAGTGATAGGCAAGAGCAAAAGGCCACGTTGTTTCAAAAACGTTAAATCTCTGCCAGTTGAATATGAAGCAAATTCAAATGCATGGATGACTACAACGATTTGGGAACGGCATATCCGTAAATTGGATTCCCAGTTTTCGCGCCAAAAGAGAAAAGTTGCCCTTATTGTCGATAATTGCACAGTCCATAGTCAGCCCGAAAGCTTAAAAGCTATTGAAATCGTTTTTCATCCTCCAAATGTTACTGCACTTCTTCAGCCATTAGATTAAGGGGTAATTCGGGACTTCAAAAGAAAGTACAAAAAAATGTTAGTAAAGGACCTGATAAAAGCATTGGATAAAAAGGAAAAGTTTGAAGTTTCCGTTTTAGACGCGATCAATTATGTGCATAGAAGTTGGAGCTCAGTTTCTTTGCAAACTGTTTTTAATTGCTTCAGACACGCGGGATTTGTAGCCAATGCAGAATCCGAAGATATCCTCTGTGAAGAAGTCGACCCCGAGCCCTTAGAAAATTTGCTGCAAATTGTTAATGAAAAAGGTTGCAGTGTCAATGACGTAAATGCATTTGTCGATATTGACAATGATATCGCTATTTGTTCACAAGTGACTGTAAAAGATTTAACTTCAGAATTTTTAGATGAAAAACAACACAGTTCCAGCGAAAGTTAGACAATATTTAACATCAATTGAAGGCACAACAGAGGAAAAATTCAAGGCGCTGATGATATTGGAAAAGAAGGTTAATAGCAATCAACAATTCCTGCATCAATCCACTATGTTATGCTATTTTAATGCTCAAAAATAAAAGAAAATGTGGTAACTATACAAAAGTATTTGTATTCCTTTTCTACACATTTATTTGCATGTGTATTACATTCTAAAAATCTAATTTTTCTCAATGAATCCTACTGCAGTCCATTAAAAAACTTCAATGTTTTTTTTTTTTTTTTTTTTAAAGAAATTTCTAACTCTGCTTAAGTCGTCGACAATGTTCGGTCCCTTAAGTGATGACTTAACGAAGTTTTACTGTATATAAAAGCAACTTTCAACTCTACAGGGAGATTTTAATTTAGTATTTAAAGTTTTTGTTTAGTATTTAAATTGACAGAAGCATTTAGACAATGAAATTTAAATTTTTTTTAAATATAATTTTAAAATTTTGATCATTACTATATTAAAGAAAATTAAGCAATTCAATCATAGGAAGTTGCAGCTTAATTATAATTTTAAATTAATTACCGGTCAATCATTTTAAATTAAAACAGTCGCCAACTTTCACCTTAATATCTTCTGATAGATTGTTACTAACAATTTTAGTCACTTTGATTGAAACTTGAATTTATTTTTGTCCGTAGCATCGACTGTATGCACTTTGTGTTCGCCTTTTAAATTGACTACTATCGTTAAAATACATTCATGTTACTCATAGCTGCTAATCATGTGAATAAAAATCGCGATGTTGGATTTTAAAATCGTGTGAATATGAATCACAATGTTGGATTTTAAAATCGCGTAAATGTGAATCGCGATGTTGGATTTTAAAATTGCGTGAATAATGTTGGAAAATGTAAACAAATAGATTCCTCTTTGCTGTGTCACTTCCTGTGGGAAGTTGGGTCACTTCCTGTTATCTCAGAACCTGCTACCAGAAGGCTTTAACTTATTAAGTTATGATAATTGGGACAGGTGGAAAACAGACATTAAAATTCTGTTATTAGATAAAGGCTGTTGGAAATTTATTGATGGAAAAGAAGAAGAGTTAGAAGTTTCAGCTACAAGAGAAAAACAAGAATTTGAATTAAGAAGAGATAGATCATTTTCAATATTGTATTATGCAATTCAGCCAGAATTCAGACCGCTTATTCAAGATTGTTTAGATGGGAAAAAGGCTTGGGAGAAATTGGTTCAGCAAATTGATCTAAAAACAAGAGCTAGACTCATTCAGATACTTGATGAGTTTTTTAGCTTAAAGTATCAAGCTAATGAAAGTATAGGCCTTTTTATTTCTAGACTTAAAACAGCAGTGAAAAAGCTTAGCGAAGCAGGTCATGAATTAAATCAGTTGTTTCAAGGCTTCCAAGCAATAAGACATCTACCGCCTGAGTTCTCCGGTATAGTTCAGTTAATTTATCGTTGGAAGGATGAAGATTTTAGGATTGATAAAATTGCCAAAGAACTGATAACAGAAGAAAGCAGACTTACACAAGTGAAAGCTGACATTCGTCCAGAGGTTAGTGCGTTTAACATTTTTTCTATAAGTAAAGATGAAGAAAGATGTGGAGACAGAAAAAAATCTCATAATAAGAGACATAAATAAGAGACATAAATAAGAATCACGATGCATAATTTTTAGATCTCGTGAATACTTATCGGAACGAGTAATTTTTAAATCGCGCATAAATACGAAAATCGATGTTTGATATTACAACCGTGCGATAACGAAACGCAATATTGAATTTTAAAAATATCTCAATACGAATCTTGACATTGGATTTTACTCACGGAAATACGAATCGCGATATTGGGTTTTAAAAACGATTAAATACAAATCACGATGTTGGATTTTTAAATTGCGTGAATGAGAATTGTGAGTAAGATTTTTAAATCGCATAAAAACGAATCGCAGCAAGTAACTTTTAAATCAGTTAAATATGAAAATCGATGACTAACAAAAAAATCATCTGAATAAGAATAGAATTTTTTCCAATCTACAGCGGAAGTCGTGGTTGTCAAAGCCACCTATTTTCTTCTGAAGATCATTTTCTCAGGAGGCTACTGCAGGGGGGGAGTTCGTCTCAAGTCCGACTATCGTTCGGGCTGCTTGGGTGTCTCTTATTGAACTCACCAAAAATATAAGTTTTTGGAACATAATCGGAAATTTTAAAAATAGGGAGAAAAAAGCGGATTTTTGCTTTTCGCAGAAGTCTTTCATACCTGCTAATATAAATAACAAAAAACTTTCTAACAAGTAACAGAAAATTTGCAATTCACCTGTTAAGCTCATAAAGATGTCTATTTGAGTTGAAATACAAGGTTAAAGGTTGGGTATTGCTGACACATTGCAATGCAGCATTCATAAAGCAAGTATTTCCCAAGTTATTAAGACCTGTAGCTCCTTTTTCTGTAGGACCTATAATGAATAACAATTATTAGAAAAAATATTTTAAAAATAACAGCACTTTTATAATGGAAAACAATTTATTATAATTATTCAGATAGTTGATTAGGATGCAATCTGTTTTCGAGTTTGGGAAATCAAATGGGTGATATTCAGTTTCAAAACTTGTTAAATCTGCACTAAGCATACCTGAATAGTCTAAACAATTTTACAGAATTTTATCAGTATCTAATGATAAATACATGGGTCAGTCACATATAAATGTCTTTTTGAATACATTTTAAGCCGAATTTGTATACTATAAATAATATTTGATCCAAAAATAACTAAATAAAATCAAATTGATAAAAAGCTATGAAGTTTTGACTGAAATAATTCGCATCCATGATTCTGATATTTCACAGTAATTTACTATTTATTACAATTATTGAAATATCACTAAAAAAAATTTTCAAAATTTATCAAATTTTGTAAATTATAATTTAAAAAATAAGTCTTTAAAAAAACAGAAAGAAAGCTACATTCTAAAAGAGGATTTTTTTTTCTTTTACAACACTATAAAAATAAATCACCTTGGCTTTTCTGATCCCATTTTGCATTCATTACATTAGTCATCTCTTCCGGCCATGTTTGATCTTTGTTTCGCACTTAAGAAAAAAGAGAGAATTTAATATTGTAAAATTTGAATATTTTTAAACACATTGCACACGTATAAGTCTTAAATTACCTTCAATGAGAATTTGTTCATTATCTTCAATTCCTAACTGCTGAAGAGAGCTGTTTTCATCTTCCAGCAGTGTGAGATTACTCTAATATAAATTATCATAACATAATCAGTGTAATAAATATAGTCAAAAATTTCAAGTATATTCATTTAGATGGCAGAAAAGATAACAAGGCTAGCATATGACTTTTTTTTTAAATGGCGGTCACTTTGATCTATTTCCCATTGGCCTCAGAAACACTACCCTCTTATTGTTACCAAGTGGGAACCTGTGGCTCAGCCACGACCGTGGAGTAGCGTCCTCCATATCATACAACCACAAACCCATTCATAGGGCAGGTTACATTCACGCAGAAGAAAAAACCCAGAGAAAATTAATCCATGCCTATGGTGGGATTCAAACACACAATCACTGGCCCGTAGTCCAGTACAGTAGACCAGTGATTGGCAGACTAGCATAGGATCCATATAGGTTATGCTTAAAATGAACATTTTTATTTCTAACATTTTTAAACAATTCATTAGGTTTAAAGAAATGATTTAAAACCACTTAAAAAACATTTCTGATAGATGCTATTTGAATTAGTAGAGCAGATAATTTTTAAAAATTCAACAATTCACTACTATATCATAGCGCAGAAATAAACATATTTCTGAAAAATAATGCAGTAAAATGTTCTTAAAGGCTACTTGAAATTATTAAGACAAAACAGCAATTGAATATATACATACATACATATATATATATATATATAATAGCAGAAAAAATATAGTTAGGCAATGGAAGTAACATGTAAAAAAGCACATTGAAGAAGTATATGTTAAAGAAAAACCAAACTTAACTAAACCTAAAAATTCTAGCTAGTTGCCCCTCTTAAAAATTAATTTTAAAAGCTAAAGATTCTTTACAAACTTAAACAGACATTATTTACTATGCTAACAGTTCTCCAAAAAAAAAATCAAGCAATAAATTAAAAACTAAAATTACTTACATCATCTTTATATAACCATAGACGAGTTTCTTCTAGCCTCAAGCGTAGACGCATACATATGAACTCAAACACTTGACGCAATGTTGCTAAGTGGCTAAAAGAAGCTAGATAAGCTAAGTAGCGCTTATGAACAGTAGGTAAATTAGTCATGTACAAAGATGGATTACCACCTAAAGATATGTAAAGAATTTAGGTTATAGAGAAATATAAATATTGGTTGACAAAGCAATTATACTGATGGGCTGCAATACAGAAATAAAACTTATGTTATACTCAATTAGAATTTATTTAACCCATTTAAGGCAAAGGATAGAAATTTTATAAAATGTGGTATTATTTTCACTGAAATATGTTTAAATTACATTCAATAAGACAAAAAATAAGATTCATGCATAAACGCACCATTGGCCAGATTAATGAACAATTCGTTTCGATCAACGCTTATATTTTTAATGAATTCCATTTGCATTCAAAATGCTTAGAATGTTTCTAAGCATTTTGAAAGCAAATGGACTTTGCATTTGATGCATAAATTGATGGTGTGGTTTTTGCACACTTTACATCATCTGTTTGCTTTTTTTCCCCATGCCCATATATTGTATCTCCGATTCTATTAGTTCGTACTTCTATCAGTAGAGCTGCGGATAATGAGCAACCTTTGTTTGAATCGGTAACTTGTAATGAACTTTCACCAGATGGATTGTTCTTGGATTCAGATTTTAATTGGGAAATAGCTATATAAGACCTATAGTCCATAAGTGATATTTTTGAGCTAGTTAAAATTCCATGTAGCTTCCAAAAATTTACTATAACGCCATCAATGATGTTTGTAAATAATGGCCACCATCGTTTCTTACCTTGAATCCTGATGCGGTAGTTAGCTATGGTATTCTCATGTAGGTCTACACCTCGCACGTGCTTATTGTAATCCGAAACAATGTTGAGTTGTGAAATCACAACTTCTTTTTTTGAGCCGCAATGACTCAAGGGATAGAGCATTTGCCTTCCAATGAGGCGAACCCGGTTCGAATCCAAGTGATGGCTGGTTGATACGAATCCTCATCCGGCTGGCACTGACCACAGTGCTGATGAAATATCCTCAGTGGTAAATGGATCATGGGTTAGAGTCGCTTTGCAGTCAGGATAACAGTAGGAGGTTCTCGAGGTTTTCCTCTCCATGTAATGCAAATGCGGGTTAGTTCCATCAAGTACTCCACGAAGGAGAATTTCTAAACAATACTTGATCCAGGAATTCTCTTGTCTTCCGGGTTGGGTTCAAAATTACAAGGCTAAGGAGTTGAACATTAGAAGTCCTAAACCCAAAAATAGGGTTGGCTGTTCAACAACGATTATATGTATATATAAATTTTTTTTAAAAAGAACTTCTTTACTTTCTCTGCGACTGTATCGTTTAGCATTAACAAGTGGCAAAATGGTACCGTTATTAGTAACAATTGTTACCACAGCATTGTCGTTCCATTTCATTGCACATGTTTCTGTATCCTAGCTGAATGCAATGTCGTAGGAAGCACAGTGTTTTCTTTTTTTTCATATTTGTGAAGTCATCCAATATGCAACCACCTATGAGATTTTTGGGAGCTGCAAAGAATCACCTTTCCTTTCAAAATTTCAAATAAACTATAGGAAGAGTAAAAGCTATCAAAATTTATATTTTTCCATCTCAGGTATTGAAACAATGCTAAGTAACTTCAAAATAACGCTTGTTCCTTATGGCATATTTTGTTGAACACTGTTAGCCTCAGGACAATATAACTCTGATAAAAATAAAAACTTAACAATAAAACTGTGAATATACAACAAAACTTCAATAAAACTCTGAAACCTTGCATAAAAAGTGGGTTTTCAAATTTCGCCTATTTCTCATGGAAGCGGCCAATCGTGCGTTAACGCAGCATTAAATTTGACTGAAATTTTTTTGGGATATTTGTATAGTTTTAATTTCGTTTTCAGAACTTACAACTTAACCCTTTATAAAAACATGTAATAAATCTCAAGTGGAATAATTATACAGTTTAAAAAGATGGACTTTTTCAATAACCGTTTGAAGTTCAAAAATTAGCGTGCTTTAAAAATTTCTCAAGAGAAATTATTTACTCTAATTGAATTACAAATATTTTAGAGGTGTCTTTAAGACCCTTTAAAACAACAGAAAATAAAAGTATTGAAAAATATTCGCTACGGTACTCAAAAATGATTTACTAAAATGGTGCGTTTACGCACCATTGGCCGAAAATGGGTTAAAAAGGATCCCATTTGAAAGAGAATTTAATTAAATACGTACCATAAGAAGAAGCTACATTTCCTACAGCACCAGCCCAAGGATTTGCAACAGGTCTACCAGTGTTTGGTTGATGTCTATAAAGTTTTAAAGTCAGCAGGTACAATTCTAGTTCAGGCATGCCATTCCTTGGTAAAATCACCTAAACAAAATAATTTCCTTTCAACAAACAAGGCAGTTATGACCTTCTCAAAATGTTTTGCTGTCATGTTTCCAGATAGGTCATATACAAGTTGCCAGAACATAGGGGTGCACCAACTGTTGATGTGTGGCCTGCTTCTGAATGAAATGATTTTTTTTTTCTCCAGAAAATTAAAAAAAGTGTCAAAAATTTTGAATCGCACATTTGAGTCATCCTTTTCTAATGCGCTCAATTTGCATTGATTCCATTGTAAATCTACGCCGTTTCTCGATCACTTTTTCATTGATTATTGCTACGAAATTCCACATGGTTTTAAGAGACCAAATACTTTTAATACGATATTACAATATGCAAATTTTGAATTTGATAAATTTTTGCCAATTTCAGCATAAATCCAAGTGATGTTTCGATCATTTCTTGGTATTCATAATTACCCATTTCCACATGGTCTTCAGGATTCCGATACATTTAATACGATTTGTGAGCTATAAATTGCGCCTCTAATTTGTCCTTTTTTGATGTTCCTTATCTGTACCGATTTTGTTATAAATCTAAATGATTTTTTTAAAGGCAGTTACTGCTACGCGTTACCATATGATTTTGAAAATCTATTATTTTTTTACGATACTATTACGACAAGCGAGTTTCAAATCGCACATTTAAATAATCATTTTTTCACACATTTTGCTTTTGCCCATTTCATCATAAATCCAAGTGAGGTTGAAATGGTTTTTAGGTATTTATAACTACTAATTTCTACATGGTTTATAAATTCTCGAAACATTTATTACGACTCATGAGTTATTAATAGCACATCTAATTGATCACCTTTTAACATACCTTATTTATCTCAATATCATCTTTTTTCAAAAAGCAGGTGATTTTGAAAATCCAATATTTTTATTACGCCCATTAAAATAATACCTTTTTGACTTGCTCTGTTTTTCTAATTTCATCATAAATTCAAGTGCCGTTCAGATCGTTTTTTTGGAATTTATAACTACTAATTTCCACACGGTTTAAAAATTCCATTACATTTATTACGATATTAAGGAACGTAAATTATAAATTGCGCATTCAATTTATCACTTTTTGACATACTTAATTTATTACGATTGCATTGTAAATCCTATTTGTTTTTTAAAAATTTTTTCTTCAGTTTCTGCAATGCATTCTCAGTCTTAAAAATTATGATTTTTATTATGACTCATTTATCGTTACCCAGTGGGCACCTATGAATCGAAGTCACGGAGGCGAGCAACATTACCCACTAATTCAAATTTATACAGGCATGAAAGCGGACAAAAATAAAAAAGCTGAACTTTTACAATGCAGGTCACTGGGAGGAGGGGGGAGGGAGTGCTCTATATGATACTGAGATTTATTAAAGCAACTTTTAACTATGCTGGGAGATTTTTATTCATTATTTAAAGTGGCAGAAGCATTTAGACAGTTAACTTCAAATTTTGCTTAAATATAATTTTAAAATTTTGACCACTAATTAACATAACACATATATTTAAAAAAATTAAGCAATTATAGGAATGCGTGACTATTAAATTACTTACTAATGAAAAATATATCACATCTTTACAGTAACTAATTCAAGAGAAAACTTACTTCTACTTCTTTCAAGAATCGCGATATTGGGTTTTAAAATCATGTGAATATGAATCTTGATATTGAATTTTAAAATTGCATGAATATGAATCGCGATTTCGGATTTCAAAATCGCGTGAATATGAATCACGATAGTGGATTTTAAAATCGCGTGAATATGAATCGCAATTTTACATTTTAAAATCGCGTGAATATGAATTGTGCTGTTGGATTTTAAAATCACGTGAATATGAGTCGCGATTTTGGATTTTAAAATCGCGAGAATACAAATCGCGATATTAGGTTTTAAAAACGCTTAAATACAAATCGCGATATTGGATTTTTAAATTGAGTGAATAGGAATTGCTAGTACGATTTTTAAAGTGCGTAAAAAAATTGCAAAACGTAATTTTTAAATCAAATACGAAAATCGATGATTGATATTAAAATCGTCTGATTAAAAATCGCGATTTTAGCAGATTCCGGTGCAGTTCCTAATATTTAAAATTCCGAAAATCAGCCAAAAAAAAAAAATCAAATATCGGCTGTCAAAACGAAACACTTAGACTAGACTCCTTTCCATTCTATAGCGGAAGTCGCGGTAATCTGACTATCGTTCGGGCGGCTTGGGTTTCTCCAATAGTACTTCCCAAAAATTTTAGTTTTTGGAACATGGTCAGAAATTTTCAAAATTGGGAAGAAAAAAAAGCGAATTTCCGCTTTTTCGCAGAAGTCTTTCATCCCTGTTTATATAACTCTATAAAATGCTCAGATTTTTTTTGCGCTTTCATTCTGTAAACTCAACAGTTTTTTTTTTTGTTAGAATTTATATGGCCTTTCATTAATCTACTTACTGAACAAGTGGCCCATCACTCAAAAAGGTTGTGCACCCCTAGGATAACAGCTCAATACCAGAAACATCTCATAAAACTCTTTTTTGAACAACTTGGAAATATGGCTAGTTACATAAATATGACCTTTGAATTTAACTGTTACATTCTTGTTCAAGTGAATTGAGTAAAAACATAAGCCAACACTAACAACAAAAACTATCTGATTTATTATCAAGGTAAAATAAAAAGTTTTCTATAAAATTTTGCAAAATAAGTAAAGAATTTATAAAGTAAAAAAATAAATAAATTTAAAGAAATCAAATGTAAAATACAAGTTCGATTTGAAATTATGACACACCTTAAAGATTGATGAATATTTTTACCTGTCTGGGCAATTGAGGAGAACCACCATACCACTGAGAAAGTGCCCGCCAAACAGCTTCAGGTACTAACTCAAAATCTCTGCCTCTCAACAAAGTTGGATTTTTACGTAATCTTCCCCCTTCTCCAGTCAAAAATATAACCTTTAAAATAAAATAAATCAGTAAGTTTACATCTTAAAAGAACAATGCAACCATATACCACCAGTTTTTTCCATTGTGTTTTTAAGTTATATAAAAATCAATAACGACTTTTTGACACAAAGGCAATATTTGATACTAGAAAACTGATTCTTTATGGCATTTTTAATCATTAAAAATAATTTACTAATTTCATTTATTATTTATTAATTTCCTTTAGTTAAGTAGCACTATAATTAAGAGACTTAAGATTTCCTTAAATACAGGGTATCTGCTACATTTTAGATTCTCAAACTCATGGTTTTTCATGACTTTACTAGACTAAATCCAAGAATTTTTCATGACCTAACGAAGTTACTATTTTCTCGGACAAAAACACAACAATAAATTTAAAAAAGCATTATAATAACATAAATTGAAATGATAGATATAACCAAAACTGTTATACTCTGCATCTTCATATTTATAGATTTTAAATTGAAAAAAAAACAGAGTAAAGAAAGAGTTGAAACAATAAAATAGCTGAAAAAAATGCAAAAGCAATTTTTTTTTCCTTTTTTTCTGCAGTATTATATTCCAAAAATACTTTTCAGTTCACAGGAAAGGAAAGAAAAAATCCCGATTTTTCTGCTCTAATTTCGGAATTAAAAAAATTCGCCAATGACTGGCTTGCTTCAGCAAGAATTTAAATTGGATAAAATAAAAATAACAAATAATAACAAAAATTCTGAAATCACAGAAGTTTAAAACATAATTCGCTTGAGAAATGATGTTTTTTCTTTTATTTTTTGAAAGAACACCCTAATTTTTAAAGAACATTATAAAAACATTTTAAATTTTAATAAAATATGACTCTGAGTGGGGATTTTGTTACAAGTTCAGGCATTCGGAACACCATGAAATGGGGGAGGGGTAAATTCCAGTTTAAAAATTAGATTTTTCGGCAACCTAAATCCTTGACTTTCCATGATTTTTTTAAAAAAATAGTTAAAATCATGACAAATTTTGTTCAATACCGAAACTCATAACTTTCCATGATTTCTCATGACTTTCCAGGCGTGCAGATAACCTGTAAATAATTACCTGTAATAACCTGTAAATTAATGTAGTTTTGACGTCTAGTCAACAATGCAACCAAATTAATTTGGTGAATTCATTTGATTGATGATTTGAATATTAATGAAATCGATAAAATATTATTCCACTTGCGATTTCATCCACAAAATTTGCAAAATATTAAGATATATTAAAGACTTTAAAAACATAGGCAGTTTTTTTCCAACAAGCTTATATTACCAAAAGTACAAAAAGAAAATTAATGCTTAATATAATTACTTACTTGGTAGACATCAATTTGAATTAATTAGTTGATCAGCGACAGTTTTCTAGAAATTCTTTAAATTTATAAAGCAGATATTATCTATTTATTTTTAAAAAGCACAAGTCTAAATTATAGCAGATTGATAATTATACCAATAAAAAGCCATGCTTGCATGATAAAATAATGTCAAATTTCAGGATTGCTGGACAAAATAATTAACAGAAACATTACTTTTTAGTGTTGAAGTTTTTAATTTTGAAAAATAAACAGAATAAAAGCAATAACACCAAGAGAAAATATTTTAAAGGTTTCATGCCAATGAGAGCTAAACATTATTAATAATTGAGTTTTTTTTATTAAGGTATATTGACATAATTTTTTTGAAAATAGTCTTCAGGGAGCACAGCCAAATTTTTCAACAAAAGTAAGCACTTATTTTTTTTAAAAAAATTTCATAATCACGATATGCAACAAATAATAAAAAAAATTTCTTCATACTGTTGAAAGTTCTTCATATATATATAACGTCGTGGTTGAGTGGAAGGATAAAAACAGCTNATTGACATAATTTTATTGAAAATAGTCTTCAGGGGGCACAGCCAAATTTTTCAACAAAAGTAAGCACTTATTTTTTTTAAAAAAATTTCACAATCACGATATGCACCAAATAATAAAAAAAATTTCTTCATACTGTTGAAAGTTCTTCATATATATATAACGTCGTGGTTGAGTGGAAGGATAAAAACAGCTCTTAGGAAAGGAAAGAGGGTACAAAATTTATTTATTATTTATTAGAAAGAGAACGGTTATCAAAGTGGACACGAAATCGTTGTGCTTCTCAATAAAAGCTACGGAAAATCTTGCAAAGTAAATTTTAGGGAATAAGGGAAAACTTAGTAATTGTAATTGGTTTATTAAATAGGTCATGTGATGCCCACAAACAGCAAAGGGAAAAAAATTTTACTTTTAATTAATGCATACTTGAACCAAAAATAAATTAATAGACAGGATACGAATTTAAGAGTGTGAGAAAGAGCTTCGTTTTGAATAATAAATTAAGAAAAGGATTTACAGAAAAGAAATAACACAAAAAGATTAATTGAAGCTTTTTATGTTACATGTATATATAATATATACATAATATATATTCGCAGAAGTCTTTCATCNTTTGCACGGTTTGGCTTACTTTTGAAAGAGTTATCGCTATTTTTGTGATTTTTCCTTAATTTATGATAACCAGTGTATAATATATACATAATATATATATTCTTTTATACAAAAACTAATGCGTAATTTGGTAATCATTGCAATGTAAAATGTAAATTTAGATTCAATAAGAAACTTAAATTAGAATCTTTATGTATAATGCAAAAATAAATATGATGAGAATTGCAAATGGTAATTCTTAAATCCCTCTTATGATAGTTATGAAGCATGATTCCTAAATCTGTCTAGCACAAATTCTAATGCATGACTCGTAAATTTGTAAAACTGAGAATTGTGATGCATGATTTAGAAAATATTTAATTAAACATTACAAAGTGATACGTATTTACATATCACTTTGTATGATTCAGAAAGCATTTTAATGCTATAAAAATCGCTAATAGCTTTAATGATTTAGAAATCGCTTTAATGAGATCTTTGACACGTGATTGGTAAACCACTTTCATGCCAATCACGATGTTTGATTTATAATTCACGGAATCTAAATAACTACATTTTATTCATTAGTGGAAAAACTAAATGTAAAAATCTGAACATAAAGGATAAAAAAATTATTGATCCTAATTAAAAAATTAAAATAACGAAGTTAAGTATTAAAGATAATAATATTTGTCCATCATAATAATGAAGTTAACACAATGACTACATTTAGAATTCGAAGAAACACTGCAGATCTAGCAGTAACTGCTATGTACAAAAGCAAAAATTATTTGCTAGAGATTCTGACTTTCTCGAGGTGAATGATAATCTGGAGAGAAAAACGTAAAAATTATATATTCCACTTTCACCTTCAAGAATTTACTCAATGGAACTTTTCGAAAATTATGTGAGTGCAAATTTTGTTACAATTTCATATTTGATAGCATGATAAATTGCATCTATCAGAAATTACCAGACTTTTGGTATTAGAAAAGTAAAACATTAGAATCTCAGTAAGCCCCTTCCATTCTCTTCGAATTGAAATAAAACATTAATTTTCATTTTTCATTTAAAATTTAGTACATGGTTATAAATAGCTAATACTAGGTATGGTTTCGTTTAATATTTCCATTTCACTATTGGTTTACCCCCACACCATACTTGTACTTTGTAATCCAATCACAGGAGAGGATAAGGGAATTTTTATAAATTTTGATCAAACTCCCACTTAGCTGACCTTAAATTATTCTTCAGTAAAGAAAACAGCGAAAGGATGGAAAAGAAGGGAAGTGATTGAAATTTTTATTATCTTGGTTAAAGTTTCTTTTTTTCGTGCTTTTTATAGGAAAGAATTATTATTTTAAACATTATTCTGAGAAAAATTAAAAAATTTTCCAGGATCTTATCAGAGAATTCAAGGACTTTTTGAGGACCTGATTATTTCCAACAAAATTAAAGGACTTTCAATGTTTTTCGAAAACCGGGAGAACCATGCATATTAACAAAATGCAAAATAATTACTAAAGGCTAAACATGGTCATGATAAAATAAATAATTTCTGCCAAAGATCTCTTTTCTTGATTACATTAGGCACACAAAAAAAAACAAGTTACACACAATTTTAAATATATTCAATATCGACTGGCTTGTTCTATTTGTCAAATTAATAATTACTTCATTATGTAAAAAAAATCAATTTTAATTAAAAATTATAATTAGTTTAGCTTTATTATAAAAAGTTATTGAGTGATTTAAATAAAAGTTGTTATAAAAGCGTATTCAGCAAAGCATTAACAAGAATAATATTATTGATTATACTAAATTTATAAAGATATGTAAAGAATTAAGCAAACTAAGAAAACTTATAATTCATATTATATAATAAATTCATATTACTAATGTAAATTACGGAATGGCCCTTATTAAATTTTTATTAAAATTTTTTACTTAATGAAATGATTAATAATACTTTCAATAATTTTGAAATGCAAATAATGAGTAAAGAAATTAAACATTTTTGTCAGAAGTAAACTATTATATGGTCCCTACACTTATAATATTTAACAAATCTGAGATTACTGAATTTTTTTATTTCAATTATTTTTAAATCAAATTACTAAGAGATTATTTAGAGTTTTTTGGAAGGATAAATCTGAATAATACATGATTTTTTACTGCATTTTAGATAAAGAAAGCCCCTTACTTCATACTTTTTCAAAATCCTGCCTCTAAATATTATTGTTTTTTAATAAAAAGAACTTGAGAGTACTGGAAATCTTAAAATTAATAATACACTAATAAAAAGTAATAAGTAAAAGAAAAAGTAATAAAATACAATAAAAGGTTTAAAAAAATTTATGCAATTAACGTATGGCCTTCAGGTAAAAATCTTATTAAATTCTTACTTTTTTTAAATTAAATGTATAAAAGGGAAATTTTAAGATGATGAAGCCTCGTGAATGTAGACTACTCTGAGAAAATATGTTCCCAATTAGTGAATGATTCCCAAGTCAAGTACTGATCAATAAATAGAAGAACACGAGTAGGTCATTGGCTTGCCCTTGGCGAAAACAATGGCCAATGAAAAAATTAACAAGAAGAATAAAATTTTCTTTTGCTAGTAGGGAAAAAATGTGGCACTGTTCAGTTGATCTCCGTGACGAGCAAAAATTTGTGAGATATTTCAATTCCAATTCAAACATGTGAAAATGAAGTCTGTAATTGAGAATCTCTAGCAAAATATAGTCGCACATGATAGAGCAAGAATCCTTTAAACCCAATCCAGCTCAACATACACACATGCAAACCTGCAAATATTACATCAAACAGGTAAAATAATTGGTTCTTTCATACACTACAGATTGACGGTATGCCGAAATGGTTAAATGAATTATGAAAACCCCACTTTTTGCACTGGCCACAAAATTGACATGGTAAAGAAAAAAAATTTTATTTTTGAAAAAAGAAAATTAAGCACTTTTTAAAAACACTTAATGAAAAAAACAGTTTTAATAGCTTTTAAAAACAAAAATCGAAAAGAAGCACCTATAAGCATTTTTTAAAAACGCTACTAACCTTAATTAAAATTTCAATTTGATTTTTGGTAAGTAGGGGTACTAAAAGTATAAATCTTAACAAATTTGTCAAATATTTTTTTCAAAATGATGGCAAATTTGAGCACAAATCTAAAAAATTTTTATGCAATACTAACAGCTCTACAACAAACTGTAACACATAAATTCCAAAATAAATTTGTATTCTAGACCAATAATACTTGTGTTTTGGATTAAAATCTTTAAAAAAAATTAAAAATAGAACTAAATATGTAGTTCAATGTTGATTTTTTAAAGTAATATTCTAAACATTCTTACTAACTGCAGCATAAAATAACAAATTCATTCTTAGACGTTAGCTTTTACTTCAAAATGTAGCTAACATTATGCAAAATTATACGCAAAGTTTAAAAGAATTCCATAAATTTTTTTTTTAATATAATATTTGTTAGCATAAAGAGATTTTCTCAAGATCAGCCCAGTCGGATACCCTGTCATGTGATTTGATTATTCAATAAAAATACTAGAAACCACGAGAACATTGAAGTAAAATTTATCAATATTAACTGTTTATTATTATGGATAATAATTTTTAAAATATATTTGGTCTATTGAAAGTTTTTAACATTTAATTATTATTGTTCAAAACTTTTACTAAATTTAACCAGAAAAGTTAAAAGTACTATGTAACATAATAAAATTAATTGTTACAGAAGAGATAAATGAAAAATTAAAGGTAAAAGTTTAGAATTCTTTATATAACTAAAATAAATATAAAATATTGATATTCAAATTGATATGTTTAATATTTATATATATTTTAAAGCTATAAAAATCGCTAANCAGCATTTTTCAACAAAATATAAATATATATATATATATTGATAATTAATGCATCATGTAATTCAATAAAGAAAATTAATAATAACAATAATTTTGATAATAATGTTTATAGAAAGATGCAATACAAAACATATTTTCAAAGAACAAAACAATGACAATATATTTTCTCAATTATTTATAAGTGTTAAAAAAATTTGCAAAATAACATGAAAATAATTACTTTTAAAGTATTCGGTACAATTAAAGACGTATTATCTATAGATGTAGGACGTTGTGGCACATATGACATATTCCTTCGATTCACATTAGGAGAGTGATTTGGCGTCCTCAAAAGATCTGGAGGCTGGAGAAAAAAAACATCTTTAGAGCTAAATTTTTACCAAACCTTATTGATTTTATAAAAATTAATACTATTTTCAAATTCGATATCAAGAAAGAAAGAAACATTTAATATTTGCTTTAATATATAGCTTCCATTTTCTCTAGTTATTAAAAATGTATATAATGAATTAATAATATGACTCAAACAAACACATACAGTTATTTAAGAGTTTATTTTATAAAGCTCTATCTCTTAATATCATGTTTAAATAAATTCAGTTATACTCTTTCAAATTAGAAGAATTAAAATTATAACAATATTTATTTTTAACAAAAACATAAGAGGATATGCTAATGTAACAAAGCATATTATTAGCAAAAAAAATTAATATTTAAAGAATAAAATAACGTTGGTAATCCTCCTTCACAGCTGCATATCCTAGATCAAACAAAAATAAGCTGAAAGTTTTTACCAGACTTTATTTTTCATAAATTGATATCTTTGTTACAAATTAGTAGTTCAATTGAGATTTGTTTGTTAAAAAGAAAAGATTGAGATATTTGTCTTCATTTAATCTAATACTTATTCTCCTTTTTTCAGGAGCTATTATTATGTGTTTTTCCAACTGGGTCATCACATGCATAACACAGGTTGGGATCTGTCGGCTTAGAATATATTAACATGCTTTTTATTATTTTGTTTCAATGAGTCCATTTAAATTTGATAAAAATCAAAGAAAATTATTACCTTCATTAAATTGGGAAACATCTATCATTATCATATATGTTTCGATTGGTTAAGGTAATTTCAGTGGTCAGATGAAGTGCGCTACCAGAAGCGAAACTACTAAAGTCGCTACTTTTTTCCACAGTCTGTAGTGTAGTTTGATACAAAAAAACCCTGTTTATTTCAATTCCTAGCAACTACTTTATATGTTAGTTAGAAATAAAGTTCAAATGCAAAAAAAGTTTCGAATCTGATTGATGCAAATCCTTTGCGGGCCCGTAACGTATGCAGTGAGAATGCCTCTGTGGCCAAGCATTAATAAGATCTATGCTTGATGCTCAGAAAAATTGGTCGAATTGTTCCTGAGAAATTGAAAATTCGATTTCACAAGAACTAGAGAGTACGTTTTTGTGCATGATGTTTCAACTTGAAATATCGTCTGCATTAAGTAATTAGTAAAGTCACCCCGTCAAACCATTAAGATTGAGCCCTAGAACGTGAAAATCCGATCATTAGATCAAAAGTTATTCAGGTTGGTCCGTTTTTTGTTTTTTGCACTGTACCTTTATTTCTTGGAGGATATAAAAAAGCATTGATCACCTAAACCAGAAATATTTAATAATTTTCTAGCATTTCTTAAATTCCTGTTGAGAAAAGCATAGAGTTTGAAGGTTAAAAGAGCAAATTCGTAAAAAGTGCTTTAGATTAAAAAAACTACTTCATGTTAACATGAATAAAAGCTTCTTAATATCTCCTCATATTTTACCGAGCCATTTTTTTATTCAAAGTCATTTTGAATATTGGTGAAAATTAAGTTTTTCAGTTAAGTTTGTCTTCCAAAAGTAGCGCGAAGTAGTGACTACATTTCAAAAGTAGTTTGTAGTCGCTACATTTTAAAATAAAGTAGTTAAGTACAATCGTAATAAAGCAGCAGTAAACTACAAAGAAAATGTAGTTTTTCTGACCACTGGGTAAGTTAAACGCTGTATACTGAACATAAATAATCAGCAGCTATTTAGATAATTATTTTTCATCTCATATGAATTTCGCATTTTATAGCATAAATGACAGCAGCATTATTTTTTAAATTTTGGAGCTGAGTTTATCAACTCTTTTTCCAAAAAAAAAAAAAATTGAATCACTTTTTAAGTGATTGCTTTTGTTTGCTATATCTTTTTTTTTCCTTTTTTTTAATTTGCTGCAAATGCTTCATGTTTTACAAAACAAGCAAAAAAATCATTTAAAAAGGTTAAATTGCTCGTATTGCAGCTTGTGAATGAGGGGGGAAACAGATTGGTGATTAATTTAGTCGTTAGCCCATCTTCAAGCATATTTTGACAAATCCTATTATTTTTTTTTCTTTACCTGCCTATGTCACATTCTTCTTTGCAAGCACAGAATGTTAGTTTTGAATATGCCTATATATACTAATAATTGCCGATAGAAAAACAGTCACATTTACAGTAATTAATTAAAGAAAAACTTACTTCGTACAAGAATCGCGAAACTTGATCTTAAAATCGTGTGAATGCAAATAGCGATCTTGATTTTAAAAATCGCTTGAATATGAATCATGATAATGGATTTTGAAATCACGTGAATATGAAACTCGATATTCAATTTTAAAAATGAGAAAATACAAACTGCGTTATAGAATTTTTAAATCACGTAAATACAAATCGCAATTCATAATTCAGTGTAAATATGAACCACAACGTGTAATTTTTAGATTGTGTAAATACGAATCACGATGCATAATTTTTAGATCGTGGAGCAGAATCCCAATGCCTTATTTTAAAATCACGTATAAATATGAAAATCGATGCTTGATATTATAACCGAATGAACAAATCATTGGATTTCAAACTAGCGTGAATACGAATCGCTACATAGGTTTTTAAAAACGTATAAATACAAATTGTGATATTGGATTTTTAAATCACGGAAATAAGAATCGCAATTACGATATTCAAATCGCGTAAATAAGAATCATAATGCGCAATTTTTAAATTACATAAATACAAAAAGCTATGTTTGATATCAAAATCGCGTGAATAAGAATCGAAATTTAGCAGATTCCGGCCTTGGGACTTCTAAAAGGCTCATTTGAAGCAGCGATATCTTAATTACGAAAATACGAGCAACCTGGCGTGCGGGTAAAAATTAGGAAAATCTTATCTTCTGCACGGAGAAAATAGCTAAAATAAGTAAAAATGTGGAAGGGTTGGCAGCTATGTACTATGAATTTTCTCTTTATCTTTGAAAATCGGAAATAAATATAATTATTTTACTTCAAAGGCTGACTTTTCTAAAAGAGCAAAATATTTATTAAAAAAAAAAAGAACTTTTAGATAATCTGAGTTTTCGATAGAAAGGCAGCAATTCGAGAGACAAAAGTCTCATAAAAAAAAAAAAGCGGAGATCCGCTTAAAAGCGGAAAAATCGCATCCCTGAGATTGGAAATTTTATGACAAAATAGTTATTCTTGCTATAAGAGTTGAAAAAGAAAGTTTTAAAAAAACACAAGATCTTATTACTTTTGGGAAACATACTGGACTTATAGATACCTCAAGTTCAAATGAATTCCCTTTGCCTGATTTTATGGGTATCTTAATCAAATTCCCTGACATTTTGCAGATTGATAAAATTTCCGAAATTTTCCCACTGCTCCCCAATTTCTCTATTCTGTGGCTAACCTGCTTTCAGTACCGCATACTATGCAAAACAAATTGTCACAAAATGATGAAGCAAGTACATATCTTCTTACAGATCAACTATTAAAATCCCAGAAACTAACATACTTGTAATGTGTTGCTTTTAGTTCGCACTAAAGATGTTCCACCATTACCCAAAGAGTCAGGGGAAAGCGCATTGGAACTGCTGTCACTGTTAAAAGAACTCAAGATGCTGCTGATGCTCTCGGACAAAGAGGTCGACGATTCATCACCAACACTAGTCACGCTAGATAAAATAACATTGGAACTACCATCGTCAGTTTGTGCAACACTTCCATCTACCCGACGCTGCATCTTACTGTTTCTTTTCAGACTACCAGATGGGTAAGTGGGGGTGCAGCAGCCACTGGCCAGTGGTCCCTAAATAAAGAAGAGGCAATTTCATTATGGCAGAGCAGATTTAGTAAATTGATCAACTCTGAATGATCAGTTTTCAACATTACTACGACTCATTTTTCACTGAATTCTAGAAAGATACATTATATTAATAATGTCCCATAGAAAGAAACAGAATTGAGATGACTAGTTATTGAATATACATAGATCAAGATAACTGTGTTTCTTGAGAACTTATATACAATTAAATAAGGAACAAGAGATTATGTCATAGAAGGCATTTAAACAATAAATAAAAGCTTAAACACACACACACACAAATATATATATATAATATCATGTGGAAATCCATTTCGGGCAAATCCGTGGTTAAAATTATGTGCAAAACAGGCAATTTATGTTTCCCTTTTCTATTTTATATTTTTTTCTTAAATAAATATTTATTTTCTAAAATTATTTATGGTCAACTTCTTTAAATTATCCAGTATAATATTACCTTGCGCATATCCATTTCGGGCCCATCCTTGGTAACTAACAAATCAAACGCACTTCAGCAATGCAGTAAGAACGGCACTTTAAAACAAAACTCCTCCAGTTACACTCAATTTGCGCTTTTGTTTTCATATCTTGCAATCTGACAATCTTGTTACGAAAATATTTTTTTAATCATTCTTGAAAAATTTCCTGCTCATGTAAGTACATTTGAATTCGCTACTCGCTTTATAGAATTTGCTTTATTCTGTTTTTTCTTTTTCTTTTATTTTATTTTCTGTTTTTACGTGTTATTTTTACTAATATATTTTGCTTTGGCTATATTGATACAATATCAGAAAGCACTCTTTTTTGCGGATATAATCGTGTGGGCTGATGAAAAGATTATATCTTTTATTTTCCGGACTTTTTAAAAATTTTTTTATCCTTTTTTCCTCCCAGTTGTTTTTTTTTTATTATTATTATTTTCCTCTCCCCCCCTTTTTTCATGTCAGTAATTTTTCTTTCTTTTATCTTCATTTTGAACTTCTCTAATGAGTTCTGTTTACTTGCAGCTTATGCAGAATAAATGAAACTTTTTGTTTTTCTTAATTTTCTTTGTGTTTTTTTTTTGTATTTATTTATTTTGTTGTATATATATGTATACTTGTTGTACATATATATACATATACACATTTTCCTCCATTTAGAAGGATAGAACTCATAACCTCTGCCTCACCAGAGCAAGGACTTTCACCGCCATTCTCCTCCGATACACACCGTAACATCCTACTTAGAGAAAATAGTGACTTAATGGAAACTCTGAAACAGGAACTGTTGATAGGACCCTGGTTCTCTACCTTACTCTCATTTTTAGATGGAGATAAAGGTTGTTTCTTTGAGCTGTAATTTTATTTATCTCCAGAATTTTCACTTTTACAGGGTTCTAATTGACATGATGGATGATAATATGATTTCATATGTGCCACTTTAATGGTATCCATAGTTCTACGCTTTGTCGAAAATGCAATGTCTTTGACCTCATGGGTTAACCTCAGACAATTGTCGCTTTCTTCCATAAGATCCAAAATACTTATTCAATAACTTTTCAGAAAACTCTTAGTCTACCTTTCAAAAAGGCCTAAAATTACAAACAACTTTTCCTAGTGGATAAATCAGTCATCAGTGTTTTGAATCATATTGTTTTTAATCTCTTAAATCTTGAATATTGATTGCACGCAGACGAGCAAGTTGTCTTGCTTCTTTTGCTATTAGTATCTTATTTAGTGGTGTTATAGGCAAAAGTGACAAAAGGTAACATCAAAGTTAACTATCCTAGTCTTTTTACTTAACATCAACATACATCAATAACATATCAGTCAACGTATTGTTAAATTTCTCTGTTAGATCATTTGTTTAAGGATGGTAAGCTGCTGTAATAAGATGATCAATATTTTTGAAGTCTAAATAATTTTGCTACTACCTTCAAGAGAAAGACAGCTCCATGATCTGAGATTAGGACTCTTGAAAGCCACCCTTTAACAGAATATTTTCAAGCAGTAATTTTCCATCTCAAAAGCTTCAGCATCGGGGAGATATTTTGTTGTCACAAATCTGGTCAAATAGTCAATGCACATTACAATCCATTTGTTTCCTTGAAGTGACTTCGTAAAGCTTCACAGTAAATCAATTCCTATTCTGTGAAAGGGTGCTTTGGCAGCTGGTATTGGTATCAAGCTCTGGGTGGCAAACATTTGCGTCATTCACATTCTTTACAATGAGACTTGTATCGTCTAACACTTAGTTCTTAACCCTCTTTTATTATGCCTAGTGACTGTATGTCACTAAGATATGCTTTTCACTAGCCTTTCAAGATCCATTCTCCCACTAGAGATGAATGGCTTAATTCTCCTTGGTGGCTTAAGGGCAAATGTCTAATATGGTACACTGATGGTTCAAAGATTGGTCTCAAATCAGGAGCAGGAATTTATTGCTCCAATGATGGTACCAAACTTCACTTTCCCGTGGGAAGCTATGCCACTGTTTTTCAGGCTGAGGTCTATGCCATTATCTTGTGCTGCAAGATATGCTTAGACAGGGGATATTAAAATATGACTATCCGCATCTGTTCTGACAGTCAGGTTGCTCTCCTATCACTGTCAAAGTGTAAATTCACCTCTCTGCTAGTGTGGGAATGCTTTTCAGTCCTCTGTGACCTATCTACTCATAACAGGGTATACCTGCACTGGGTACCTGGACATATGAGTATTCTTGGAAATGAGCTAGCTGATGAAGCAGCCCAGGCTGGCTCTAATGCAATTTTCTGGGGCCCTGAACCTGCACTGGGAATTTCTCCCACTTCTTTGAGGGCATCCATATTCAAGCTCTATGGCAAAATTACCCATGAGCAACGGCACGCTGCTCTGCTGATGGTCAGAGACAAGCTAAGGAGCTGAATCGCAACTGTCCTAGTATACGTCAAAAGGAGCTTTTAAAGCTTAATAGAAACAGATTAAGGAAGATCATTGGTCTTCTTACTGGACACTGCATCCTCAGGAGACACCTATACATAATGGGAATTGAATCCAAATCTCTTTGTCGAGGTTGTCATCTTGAAGAAGAGACATCACAACACATACTTTGTGATTGTGAGGTCTATTCTGCTCAAAGATTTGTTGGTAGTAAAAAAAAAATCCATCTTTTTTTCTACAAATAAAATTTTAATTCCATATTACTTCTTTAATAAGCAAAATATTTTACCTGATAATCTACATATTCATTCCAAGAAATCCACCAATCACTTGCTATTAAATACCACAAGCTTCCAACCTGCATTCCTCTTCTTTCTTCTCTTTCTATCCAAGATCTAATGAAGAAATAACAACAAATTTACTGTAAAATAGAAGTTTACAAAGTTTAAAATAATACAGACATGGAATTGATGGAAAAAGAAATTACCTGACATTTTCCCTCAATGTGTATTTTTAAATTTTTTTTTTGCACATAAAATATAAAAAGACAATTTTATACACAAAAGTAACATTTAAATAAAGAGTGAAAATAAAAATTCTTATCAACACAGAAAAGAACTAAAAAAATCATCATAAAATCATCATAGCATTTACAGAAAAAATATATATATATGGGCAATTCCACGAAATTGTCAACTTTTAAGTGAATTTTTTTTTTTATGAATTGCATATTTTAATTTTAAAAATATGTTCAAAAATAGCCANATTCCGTCACATATGGAATTGCCCATATATATATATTTTAAAAACTGAGAAATCTACAACAATAACTGAAAAAAGAGATCAATTAGGAAAAATTGGATTAGGGGTTTCAAGATTCCCGTGTTGTAATAAATAACATTGCATTGTAAATATTGAGAGTATATATGAATATCAGAAAAGATAACTGCTGAAAAATTGATTGAAAACAAAGATAGAATTTTCAAGTCAAATAGTGAATACTAAGATGTGCAATTTGAATTTTTTCTATCCTAAAAGTATCACAATTTTCAAAAATTACGTGAAAATTAACTACAAACACTGACAAAGGGAGAGAAAAAATCACAACGCCACCTGTATTTAGCTCAAATCAAGTACATAAAAAAGTATTTACTCAAAAACACAATTTAAATTTTTCACTTCTTAATAATGGCGTAAAAAAATATCAGAATTTTAAAAAAATCACATGGATATCAGCAATAACTGTGAAAAAGGTGATGAAAGAAATCGTCACTTAAAAAAATTACTAATAAATGAGTTTATTAAATTTTGTGTAAAATTTTGAAATTTTGTAATAATAATATATAAAGAATATAGGGATTAAAAAAACATTAAGAAAATTTATAGCAAAATAGCCAACAAAATGATAGAAACACTGCACGAATTTACGATGGTATCGACATAAATCGAGTGCATTAAAGAGTGATTACTCAAACACACTATTCAAGTTGTGCATGACGCCGTATTGTCAGAATTTTAAAAACCAAGAGAAAATCAATTGCATTCACTGCAAAAGAACAAAGATCAAAACACAGATTCACCACAATGTCGAGAGCATTGAAAAGTGATTACTGAAATGCATCATTCAAAATTTCCATATTGTTATATTATATTAAAAATTAATTTGATCTTATTGTAGACAAATAAAAAAAAGGTCAATATATTACATTGATTCAATAATTCTTCTGTTATCAATCAGAATTTGCAACAAAATTGTTACTCATTAAAATATAAGTTTTAAAAAATGAGAAAAAACACCATTTTTTCTAGCGAGCTATCCTTTAAATGTTTGCAGAGTCAGAATTACTTTTTAGATGATCCAATTTATATTTTTGTGATTGCCTCAGTCGTTCACTCATTCTAGCCGAAGTCATTATGGAACTTTTATTTCATCCTCGCATAGATGAAGTTTATCTATAATCGCTTTTACCTTTAAGAAAATCTGCGTAAAAAAATCGTCCTCATATGCGAGTGAGAACTCGAGAATAAAACCACGCCGCTGCTCCCTGAGCCGGGACACGTCGGACCCACGTATGACGGAAGCGCTCGTTACGACACACAGAGTTTTTTCTCGGTACGACAGCACGAATGAATTAGAGTGTACTCCATTTTTTGTTCATTCAATAAACTTTAAAATTATGAACTATTAGAAATACAGTAGTGCCCGTTGCATGTCATCATAGTTCATGTTATTCATTGCTCATGTTGACTAGGGTTTTCACTACCATTTTCCTCAAAAATACGATGAAACCTCCTGGAAAGACGACCACCGAGTAGGGATCTCTTCTATTCGCTACCACCCTTCGGGAGGTACGGAATTTTTTCCGTAGACTTTGTGTCGAAGAAAACCTTTAGGAGAGACCCTTCAATCATCTCCCAGTGACCGGGTAAACCTTCTCACTCAATGCAGAAAAGGTTAAATAAAGAGGCTATCAAAACAAAAAATGTGAACAAAACACAAAAATAGATATTTAAAATATTTGTGAATGTCTCTTAGAGAGCTCTTTTGTGAAGGCAGTCAGAGTACACTAAACACAATGGTTTATTTTTAGAATTAAAAGTTAAATTAGAAAAAAAAAAGTTTTTTTAGTAAAAAACTAAGCATCTCAAACAAACTTCTTCTCATCTTCAATAAAGCAAACTCATTTTTAGGATATAAAATGAAGTGTTAACGTAGACAAAAAACATAATTGTTTATTTATTTAAAATAGTTCTATGCATCATAAGGAATAAATTTGCTTTTACACACTCGTGGCAGTGGGGGTCGTTTAGATGGCGATGCGTGCAGCGTTTCAGCACTGAGAGAATGACGCTGCGTGAAATTAAAATGGCTGGCGAAAAATCCTGTACCTCCAACGACGTTTCGAAGTTGTAAAATGGATTGTGTGTTTTTGTTTGGACTTAGACATTAAAAACTATTTTTTGGTCACGTGTATAAGCGACCATCGAGAAGAACGGTATGCGATCCGCAGACGGACGTCGTTCGAGTGAACGAAAAAGCATGCATCCGTTTGTTGCCGAGCTCTGAAAAAAAATACTTAAGGTGTTGCTATCCATTGAAAAAAAAGCACTAAAAATTTATTAAAAACGGCAGGATACGATGTCCGTCGTGAGACACGAGAGTCGGAGTCTCCCGCGGCGGAAACGACGGGCGTCTCGACGTGTCGGCGTGTTCTGCCGAGAGTTTGGTATCTCTCGTGACGTCGGCCCGGAAAAGAGAGTGAAGATAAAAGATTCCAACGGGCGGGGCAAATAAGAGTGTGAAAGTGAGGGGCAATGCTGAAGAGTGGAATAAAAAAGCTGAGACGAGAGCTCGGCCACCCGGTAGTTCGACGAAGGGGGACGAAATGTTACACGAATGTAATTTGCGCAGAAAGAAAAACAAAATGTCTGCTTTTGTGGAAAAACCATGTAATTTAGAGTTTGCCTGTCAATTGGGGTAAATTTTGGATCTATTCTGAATGGTGGGAGAAGAACACAAAATTCGGGAGTCTCCCGGTAATTGTGGGAGAGATGACATGTCTGGAAATAACTAAGATGCTGTTTTTCATCCACATAGATTAACCCTAACAATAATAAATTGGACCTACTTATGAAACTACTTATATTGACTACTTATTATTGAATAATTATTATAATAAACCAACTAAAAATAAATTACACAACTATACAATATGCAGGGATGAGAGTAGTTGGAAAGTAAAAAAGAGAAAATTCAAGAATGAATATATATATACATATATATATATATATATACACACAAAAATTTGACAAAAAAGTGCAATTTTTAAACTTGTAAACCATGTGATTATAAATCCCGATGATTAATTTAAAAATTGCATGAATATATAAACATGAATCACATGCATGATTTTAAATTAAGAGAATATAAATCCCGAAATGAGGCTTTTAAATCACGTGAATATGAAACTCTATATCGAATTTAAAAAATGTGAAAATACAAATCATGATGCGTAGTTTTTAGACCACGTAAATACGAATCACGATGCTTAATTTTTAAATAGCGCAAATACGAATCCCATTGTCTAATTTTTAAAGCACGTATAAATAGGAAAATCGATGTTTGATATTACAACCGCAAAAATAAATCACGACATTGGATTTTAAACTCGCATGAAAACGAATTGCTACATAGGGTTTTAAAAGCTCGTAATTACAAATCGCGACATTGGATTTTTAAATCTCGTAAATAAGAATAGCAATGTACGACATTTAAATCGTCTGATTAAGAATTACAACGTTCAACTTTTAAATCAGGTAAATATGAAAATCAATGTTTGAGGGAAGAATGAGGACTTCAATACTTTCGCTTCGCGGAAAATTTAATTCCTCATAAAATATGTTAACTTGTGCAAAAAAAATTTCAGCGGAAATTAGCGGGAAAAATGGAAAAATCTGAAGAAAAGCGGAAATCCACGAATCCCTGGAAGAATCACATCCCTTAATATGATAACTTAAAACATAACTAGATTAGTCTCGAACTTGTATTTACAAGAAAATTAAAACTTAATTTCTTCGAGTTTTTTGCTCTTAACATTTACTTGGTTAATTTACAATCTACTAATTTAACCACTGCTTCAATAAAAAAAAATTCTACTTATAAAAATACATCATGAATAAAATTAAAAGAAAATTAAAGAAAAATAAATTTTAAGTTCAATTGTCCTGGAATAAGTAGGTTTCTTCCAAAAGAAATCGCAATCCTTATGAATCTTATTAGGAAGCATATTTATTGATTCCTGTCACTGCGTGAAAATGAATCGCGATTTTTGTTCAAAATCGGCAAAAAATACTAATTGCAACACTTGATTCTTAAAAATGTGAATATTGTGGATTGAGAACCAAACTAAGTCCATCAACATAAGCATTCAAAAATTAACTGATGGTAGTTATTTCTAACGAACAGAGAAGTGTTTGAAGAATGATAAAACATTAAATTGCAAATTACAAAATGAATACATTAAACTTAAACATTATGAAACCCTCAACAAGGTAAATTTGGAGCAGGCGCTATAGCCTCTAACTTCACCTGTGAGTTACAGGCAATTTTGGAGGCCCTTAATATGTATAAAGCCCTTCCCACCTCTGAGCAAGCAAAGGGCCTTGTTATCTTGTGCAACTCGAAGGCCGCCCTCCAAGCAATTTTTAAAAGGGGACTCTTCTATCACTCAAGAAATCATTTCAAAGCTTCATGATCTTCAGGACTTAGGCAGAACCTGTACTCTTCAGTGGATACCAGCACATGTTGACATTGCAGGCAATGAAAATGCAGATAAATTAGCCAAGGAAGCCAGAAATCTCAACATTAATGACTGTAACGTCTCCATCCAAGATGCAAATGCAATTGCTAAATTTAAACTAAGAGAAAAATCAATTCCAACGAAACACATGATTTGTAATATAAATGCAGATAGATCCACAACAAAAACTATAGCCAGGCTGAGAACCAATCACCACAGAGGCACAAAGATCGACAGAGAGGGCAGGAAAGTATATAGGAATTGTGAAAACTGCCCAGATACACAGCTGACACCATGCCACATCTTTGAGTGTCCAGCAATGAGTGCTAATCTGAGAGAAATAGGAGTCTTGCCGTCATTGATTGACCTTTGGCTATGTCATAGACACGGAAAAAAAATAATATGAACCAGATATTTACAGAATTGACAGAGAAAACTTCAACATAACATTAACCAAACAGTGGGAGCAGGTGTAGTAGAGACAAATTGTTTTATACAACATTCTTAGAAAACAAAAACAATGCACATGATGTCAGAATTAGATGAATGAAAAGTAGATACAGTTATGAGTTTAGTTGCATTATGCCTGCCCTCTCGTGGGAAGACACACATCATGGATTGATACACATGAGGTGACATCATTTTTCTATCATCATCAATAAAATATGGATATACAAATCTGAGAGCTTGGAATCCTGCTAAAATAGCTTAGAACCTGATCGTTTTCAAGAGTGAATATGCAATATTTTAAATCTAGTGAAAACGAATCGGAAAGCTTGCTTTGTAAATCACATGAAAACGAATTGAAATGTTTGATTCTTAATTCACATGAATACGAATGACCACGTGTGATGTTTAAATCCAGGGAATATGAATCATAAGATATTTTTGTTAATCGTATATAACATTTAGTCGATGTCAGGCTCGAGGAATGCGAAGACTAGATTTTACATCCAAAAGTATGTCGAAAGCTTCCCAAGATGTCAGAATCGTAATTCAAGGAAAATAAAAGTGAATCTAAAGTATTAAGTTTCTCTTATAAACTTACAAATTCATCATCTTTTCAATAAAATAATGTACATAACAAAGTTAACATGACAAGTTTAAAGATCGAAGAAACACTATAACTACATCATGCAAGAAGGAAACCTATGAACAAAACAACAATTATTTGCGCGAAACTCAGCCAACTATGAGATTTTTTGGCCATGGTTAACAGCATAACAAAAAAACTGTCAATTGTATTGCAGTAGCCCTAAAAGGAAAAATGAGCTTTATATTTTTGTTTGTACAACCTCAAACTTTAATTTTCTTTACTCACCCATTATTGCAGCTATAAGCATAAAAAATAATTTTTTTTTCTCGCAAATTAGGAAAAGCACCAAAAAACCTATAGCTGATTATATTATATAACACAATATATAAGGAAATAGTAAATTAAATCTTCAAAAAGTCACTCCTTTTTAAAAAATAGTTACTTTTGGAAATAATTTTGCTCAAAAAGTCACCAGTCAGTGGAAATGCTGTGTTATTAAAATCAATCGGTCTGGATTTTTCCCATTCATTCGAATGTTAAAATTATCACTTTCTTTGACAGGGTTCCCCAGTCAATTTGCGATAAAAAATTCCATGACTTTTATAGGTATACCAGGTAAATTTCAATGAAAATTGAGACCATATTTTCCTCAGAAAACTTTAATTCTTTTATTTGTTTTATGAAATATTTTAGATTTTGTGCGCAAAAAAAATTATTAAATGAGTATGAGAACATTTTAGTTTGACTAAAATGTAAAATTTTATAAAAAATAATTGTATTAGATGTAAGAATCATTTAACTCGAGTTTCAGTAACTGATTACTGCTACTGACAATTTTAAGACTGGTTATTTTCCAGGTATGATATAGGAATATTCCAGGTTTTTGTCAAAAAATTGCAACTTTCCCTGATTTTTGGAGTTAAAATAAAGTTCCCTGACAATTCCAGGTTTTCCCTGTTCTCCCTGACCCGTGGGAACCCTGTTTGATCATTACATCGTTTAATGTTAATAAGTGTTTTGATTTATTTTTTTCACAAACCATATTATCTGAAGAGTCAAATAAAAAATGCCTGAATGTTGAACCACCATCAACACATGATGAAATGAGGAATGCTGTAAGAAATATTGAAGCACAGATTACAATGCCTCTCTGATGACTTTAAAATACATAATTATGAACAATTTATAAATGAGCTTCAAAAAAATTGCAGACAATCAACAATTTATTTATTTTTAATTTATGTATAATTTTGATACTTTAAAAAAAAATGCAACGCATTAGTACATAATGCATAATATAGGATAAACACTGCATAGTACAGGTAAATTCATAGTATAGGGTGAGTTTTTTTGTTTTATTTTTTAAATCAGTATGTGTAGCTTAAACTGGTTGATTTATCTAATTTTATGATTTGTTTCTCGTTATGACTCGGTTAATGTTATCAAAACCATCACACCCCAAAGTAATGAGAATAAACTACCGTAATAATAATCATTTATGAGTTGGAAAACAAATAATACAAAGTGCACCATAATCATTTAAAATCATTAAAGATTTTTCAGTATGGAGTAATTATAATAAAATATGTTTCCTAATCATTCTTCCAGAGAGGAGATAGAAAAAGCAAATGAATTGAGGAACTCTGAAGAAAAAAAAAACTTTACTTAAAATATTGAAAAGTCATCAAAACTGTTTTATAAAACTATATGCAGAAGGGCGTGAAAAGTGAAAGGGCACTGAAGTAAAAAGTACACCGAAAGTATATGAAACAAATTTTGGAAAGCTAAATTATCACAGTAAGATAAATATATTTACATTTCTCATAAAAGATTATTTGAAAATAATTTGGCAAGCTGTACTATTTAAGTGCTCATCTCGGGTTCGGATTTAATGACCGGTCAGATTTAAGCAGCATTTTTCTGTATTTTGAGCTTGTTAAACACAAAGTATTTTTGAATTCTAACACAGTATTATAATATTAATTCTAATTAAAATTTAAGCATTCACATTGAATGATAATATTGACATTAAAAACCTCTAAAAAAATGTCAACTTACCTAATAATGTCTCCTTCGTCTTCTTTCGTATATGGCCTAAGTCCAAATATTACATGGCAAACCTATGAATAAAAATCAAAATATATAAAGAAAGAAAAGTTATTCATAACTGTCATTATGAGTAAGAGAATTTATAGGTTAATACCTGAAAGAGAATATTTAAGAATTCTAAAGACAAATTATTGCCCACAGTCCAACATAAATATTCATCTAAAGTTAGAGCACCAGCCTGCAAGAAAATCAAATATATGATTTATAATGCTTACAAATGAAATACCTTTTTAAATATTATTTTTTAATATAATATTAGTAATAAATATTATTTACATCATATTTTCATGGGCACATATGTCTAAAAGTAAAAGTTTTGTATTTCAATAACTTCACTATATGAAGTATTTATCTATTAACCCATTATCTATTAACCCATTTATCTATTAACCCATTCTATTAACCCATATAAGTTATGATAACTTTTTCTCTTCCTATAGTTTGTTTGAAATTTTGAAAGAAAAGGGTTTCTTTGCATCCGGCGTAACTCGAGAAAATCTCATAGGTGGTTGTATATTGGATGACTACACAAATATGAAAGAAAAAAAAATCATGGTTCCTACGATATTGCATTCAGCAAGGATACAGAAACAAGTGCAATAAAATGGAGCGACAATGCTGTGGTAACAATTGCTCCTAATAACGATACCATTTTGCCTCTTGTAAATGCCAAACGATACAGTCTCAAAGAAAGTAAAGAAGTTTTTTTTAATTTTTCTTCATATATATATATATATATATATACATATATAACCGCTGTTGAACAGCAGACCCAATTTTAGGGTCTACGACTTCTAATGTTCAACTCCGCAGCCTTGTAATTTTGAACCCAACCCAGGAGACAAGGGAATTCCTGGATCAAGCACTGGGAGAAATTTGCCTTCGTGGAGGACATTTTGATGGAACTAACCCGCATTTGCATTACAAGGTGAGGAAAACCACAACCTCCCACGGTTAGTCTGACTGCAAAAGGACTCTAACCCATGATCCATCTACCACTGAGGATATTTCGTCAGCACTGTGGTCAATGCCAGCGGGATGAGGATTTGTATCAACCAGCCATCACAGGGATTCGAGCCAGGTTTGCCTCATTAGAAGGCTAATGCTCTATACCTTGAGCCATTGCGGATCAAGAAAAGAAGTTGTGATTTCACAACTCAACGTTATTTCGGATTATAATAAGCATATGGGAGGTGTAGACCGACATGAGAATACCATAACTAAATACAGCATCAAGATTCAAGGTAAGAAATGGTGGTGGCCTTTATTTACAAACATCATTGATAGCATTATAGTAAATTTCTGGAAGCTACATAGAATTTTAACTAGCTCAAAAATATCACTTATAGTCTACAAATCTCATATAGCTATTGCCCAGTTAAAATTTGAATCCAGGAACAATCTATCTGGTGAAAGTTCATTACAAGTTACCCATTAAAACAAAGGTTGCCCATTATCCGCAGCTCTGCTAATAGAAGTACGGGCTGAAAGAATCGGACATACAATAAATGGGCATGGGAAAAAAAGCCAACAGATGATGTAAAGTGTGTAAAAACCTCACGATTACTTTAGGCATCAAATGCTAAGTCCATTTGCATTCAAAATGCTTCGAATGCTTCCATTAAAAATATAAGCATTGATCTAAACAAATTGTTCGCTGATCTGGCCAATGGTGCGTATACACACCATTTTATTTCTTAAATAAAATATTATTTTTCATGCACGAAACTTATTTTTTGTCTTAATGAATGTAATTTAAACCAGGGTTGGGGTTTTGGACGTCCTAAACTGGTTTTGGACAGGACACGTGGGTTTTACTGTCTTAAACTGGGTAAAACTGTCCTAAACTGGGTAAAACTGTCCTAAACTGGATAAAACTGTACTAAACTGTCTTAAAGTGTCCAAAACCTTGAACTTTGGTAAAAGGTAAAAATTCTATAGGTGTAACCATTGTACACATAATAATTACATGTATCAATAAATATTTGATATTTCTTATACAATCTACTATAACTTATTAAAAGAAAATAATATAATATAATAGGAAAAGGTTTATAATTTTTGAAGCTCCACAATTCATTGNGGTGCGTATACACACCATTTTATTTCTTAAATAAAATATTTTTTTTCATGCACGAAACTTATTTTTTGTCTTAATGAATGTAATTTAAACATATTTCAATGAAAATATTACATTTTATAAAATTTCTATCCTTGGACTAAAATGGGCTAAATATTCTAAATTGCAATTTTTTTTTTTTTTTTTTTAATTACTCACTAGATTAGGGTCATGGTTGGCTATAATTTCTTTCACAACATCATTTAAATCATGATTCTCGGATGCCGAAAAAGACATCTGCAAAAAAACAATCACATTAAATTGCAACAAATATCAAACAATCTAAATGGTTTTGAGTAAAGACACAGAAACCCCCACAAAATAAAGGAATTTAAAGCAAAAAAACTATAATTTTATATATAAATATTATGACTCTTAGAGGCAGAAAGGACATCTAGAAAAAAATAATTTTAATTTCAGCAGACAGAAAAATGTCAAACAACAATCCCTGGTTCATATAATTTAACAAAACAAAATTTCTTTCATTATATACATTAAATAGCATATCAAAATAATTCAAAACATCTCAAACTTGAAAAATCAGTTTTATTTGTTTAAACTACACCAAACCTCTCTAAAAAACTACCCTTACAATAAGATTTCAATTTTCTGAACTTAACCATTGTTATAAAGTCAGGGGTGATAGTGATACAAAATGAAAAACCCTGAAACTTTTATGTGCAAATATCAAGATATTAATTTATATACTACATACATTTCACATTTAACATAATTTTCTGAGCTAAGATTTATAATTAAATTAACTATTAATGAAGAATATCAGACCTAAATAATAACTCATATAAAAATTAAAAATAACATAATTCTGATAAAAATTGTGATATTGCATGATTACAAATTCCGATGCATGATTTTTAGATCATGCATTACATAGATTTTAAATCACGTATCAATACGAAAATGCTTGATATTACTAACGCATAAATACGAAATGCAATATTGGACATCAAAAAGATGGGAATGTGAATCACAATATTGAATTTTAAAAAACGCATGAATATGAAGCATAATATTGGATTTTAAAAAATGCATGAATACGATACTCAATGTTGGTTTTAAAATTGTGTGTCAACACATATCGCGATGCATGACTTTTAAATTACGTGAATACGAGTCAGGATGTATGATTTTTAAATCGCATGAATATGAATCTCAACAAGTAACTTTGAAAAATGAAAATTGATGTTTGCTATTAAAATCACACGAAGAATTGCAATATTAGCTTATTCCGGTGCAATTCCAAACATTCAAAATGGCAATAATTCGCCAAAAGCAAAAATTTTAAAATTTAAATTTTAGATTGCGAAACTCCGTGAAAATTTAATTGGATTACAAGTATTCGATTCTCAGAAGTTCACGAACAAATGGTCTTCATATATACGAAATACCGTAATATCAGCACAAAAAATTACATGCCCTACTCCTAGTTTCTAGACCTGGACAGGTAAGAAGAACGGATGATTCCAGGGTACACTCAGCACACAATAACCCTGGTTAAATACTAAAGCATATAATGCTAATCATGCTCACTTTTACAGCATCAAGATATTTCAAAAAGCAATAATGCACACTTTTTTTTGTCCCATCCAATGTTATATATGTCAAATGTTGATGTAATATATCCAATATTAAATATGTCAAAAATAATATAATGTTAAGCACAAAAATTTTGTTTTCAATACTAAATCTCTTAAGTCTTTTCTCTTAATGAGCACTTAAATTTTTTAGTGAATGTATTTTGCACACTAAGCTTTTTATAAATTAAATAGAATTAATGAAATTTAAATATTATAATTTTATATACTTCTTATCTAAAAATATATGCAAGTTTAAAGTCAATTTAATTTGTAAACATAAGATATTAATCTGATATAGTGCTAAGCTAAACTTTATCTAAACGAGTCATTAAACTATGGTTTTACACTACCATTACTACATTAATTTATCACAATAATTTGTTGAACATATATGACTAATGAATCATTAGCTATTCCATACCCCCTTTATGCATGTAATAGAAAATTATTTAATTATAACTGCAACACCTAAAAGTACAAAATTCTTTTAAAAAAATAAAAATAAATAAAAAAAAGAAGAAAACATTATTTTTATTACAGGGATCAAAAATTAAGCACTTTTTTGAAAAATTAAGGACTTTAAATAAAAAAAATTAATAATAAACAATATTATTATAATGTAAGCACTGATATAATTGTATTAATTAACAGGGCTCGCCAACAAAGTACCAAGTAATTTTTGCAAATTCGGGTCAGATTTTTTAAAAACATTAAATTTTCAGATTATTAAAAGTTAACACCATTCAGATTGTAAAAGTTAACGTATGAAACTAATCTGTATTCCATTTTCAATGATTTCATTGAAATTTAATTGTAAAATTAAGTGCAGAAATTAAGATTTGCTATTTTTTTCATGTATATTAAAATTTAAAAAAATTAAAAACAGTATATTAAGTTGCAATGTTAACTGCATAAAATGATTATTAAAATCTTAGGATCTTTTAGTTGAGTAGATTTAAATTTTTATGTGACACTCTGCTTATCCTTAGGAAATAAAAATAATAGAGTAACAATCTTTAACTTTTTAAAAAAAATTTACATTGCAATAAAACAAATTATAAACAGATACCAAATATTTAACTTTCTTGTTAGAAGCAAATCATGCTTTCTTATATTAGTATTTTTGAAGAAAAAACTGCCCCCCTCCCTAAAAAAAACACAATCTCTTCCATGTGCCGTATCCCCCTTGTTCACAGTATTCATTTCTTTTGCAATGCTTCACTCTCCTCATAGAGCATCATTCTAGGCGAAAGGCAGAATATATTGATGAAAGAACATGCTTTCTTCCTCTTGCCAGTAAAGTGCCCCCCCACACACACACATTAATTGTTGTCTCTCTAAAATACCTTACCTTCAATGCATGGTCTAATTCTGAGTGATAAAAGAGCAACATTTTGTTATAAAAAATTGAGCTGAAAAATTGCTCCTATCAACTATAGTGATTCTAAAAAATTAAGGACTTTTTAAAAACCTTGTACCAAAATTGAGGTTTTAAAATTGAGGAAAATTAAGTACTTTTAAGGGCCCTTTTTTTCCAAAATAAAAATTAGGCAGTTTTTAAGGACTTTTAAGGACCGTGGAGGCCCTTACTTATGTTCATTTATTCTATTTTAAAAAAAATTTTAAATAATATTTGAGCTCACAATTGCTTCATTTCGACACAAAATTCTATTTTCATTCTTGACAAACAGGAGAACTTGCACCATGTTTTTAACTTCCTCTTCTGATAAAATTCCATCACGATCTTGATCAAAAATTTTGAAACAAACTGAAAAAGGAAAAAATTACAGTTAAGAAAGCATTATAAATAATGATTTTTTTTCCACAGAAAACATTTAGATTTATAACTTTTTATTTCATTTTTGTTTCTAAAACAGATTAAAATTTTAGAAAAGTATAAAATAAAAACTTACAATGACTAACTCATAAAATCAAGCTTTAAAAATGGAAAACAAAAATGGAAAAGTAATGGACTTTAAAATGGAAAACCTTTGAATTATTTTAAATTCAATTTTTGCAAAAGAAAATTTACTTAAATAATTTTTTTAATTGACAAACACATTTTTGAATCAGATTTGTTTCACAAAATTGCTCCATAACAAGTAATATAATTAAAAATAATAATACTATTGAAAGTCACAGAAGCCAGTTAATACCATAAAGGATATTAATTTCGGTGCTGTACATTTCACATTATATTCAAATCATATCCCCATTAAATTCAAATGACCTTACATTTTTTTTTGGTTCCACTTCTACAAAAATATGAGTACAAACAATTAGTCTTCTATGGAACTATACATTAAGAAGGAAACTGCTTATTACACACTGTAATCATTACAACCATTGCTAACTATAAACATAAATTTATAACCAGTTTTTTTTATTTATTATTATTAAATTAGTCAACAAAAAAAATTTCTAATTGTAGTTTCTTATGTTATTGCCCACTTCTAAAACTGTTAACAATTTTCTGATGCATCTTAATTTAACACAAAATAAAATTTTAGTTATCACAGTAAAAACTGTGGTCTTTATTTATTTGTGGAGTTTAATCAATTTCTTTAATACCTTTCCTACCCTTAATATAAATAGAAAATATGTAGAGATTCACATACTAACAAAAAACTGAAATACATAAAACCCTTTGTGATTGTATTAATTTCAAACTAAAGAGTTGTGCCACCAAAACTCAAAAATCATCAAAAGTTAAAGAAGTAAAAAAAAGGGTATTTTTCTTATTTTTAAATATTTTTTACATAACATAAAACACCTGACCTCAGGATGCTCAGGTTTATACAAAAAAACTGTTCTTACATGCACCTCAAAAATTATGAACTTTAAATAAAATAGAGCAGCTTACACTTTTGTCTTTCTGTCAGTGGACCTCGACAACAAGCTGAGATTCCACAAGCCATCTCTTTAAAATCAATATGTCCATCTTGATTTTCATCAAAAGCATTAAAAATGCCTAAAACAAATACCAGGCATGTAATAATAAAAACTGGAAAACTGGAAAAGTTGAACATTAAAATAAATTCAACTGTTTCAAATGAAAATAAAAATTACCTTCACATAAAACGAGTGGAACAGGAGGACAGATCAGAGGTCTTAAAGTTTCTAAATCTAGACGTCCACTTCTTGATTGTGTTTTTAGAAGCCAGTATCTTTTTTCCAAGTCAATTATGTCTGATTCTTGCACTAAATAAAATAATAATGAATTATTATTGCTAAAAATTCTTGCAACTGTTTTGCATAAGTTATTAGAACACAATGTTAAATTTATTACTCGTTTGAGTAAAAGCTACATTGTATTTTATTTAAATTTTCACTCATAATTGCCTATTCTGCCTGTTATTACTGTTGGTATTCATTACCTTAAATACCTTTTGTTGGAACTCAAGTTCATTACTTTGCATAGCAAAGTTGAACTTATTGAACATTTTCTATTCTAAATGAAAAATTAATTATTATAATATAAATTTTACATATCAAAGCAATAAGTTCTTGAAATTTAGAGTGCTAAATTTCAATAAAATATCGTATAAAAGTCTAAATTTAGCTTTTAAAACCGGCTAAATTTTAATATATATTGGAGTATGTTCATTTATGTCGAATTTATAAGTTTAGTTTAAATGTTAAAACTTAGTTTTAAAGTTAAAATGCATAACCTATTTAGATAAAATATCTCATTTGAAAATTCTAATATCAGTTTCATATTCTCTAAAACTTTTTAATTCACATAATTATCAACTAGAAGTTATTTGTTAGTTTGATATTTTAATATTTTTATTTTAAATGAAATTATGATTATTCTAATAAAATATGTTTATCTTATTGTTTTAAGTGAATTCCAAACATTAAATTCTTCTAAAATATTTATTTATCTATAGGACAGTTTTCTTGAATTTCAAATAAAAAAAAGATCTGAAAATCCTTACAATGAGTGACTCCAGCAAGTGTCTGATAAAAAGTGGGTGTCTCCAACTCATTAGAGAGAGTAACAGTGTCCTTCTCCACCAATAGCCAGTTCGTAAGTGAAGTTGCATCTCGTCGATGCAAAAGCCAATCTTTGAATTCTTCAAATGTGACACGCTCACTCTAAACAACAAAAAGAAAACGTTTAAACCAATGTACAAAAAATGACAGATATTAAATTTTTTAAAAAAAACTGATTTAAATCTTACATCTGAGAAACAATCGGCTATCGCTTCAGGAACATATCCATTATCACAAGCTTGTACCAATCGGACAAGGTTATCTTTGTAAACATGAGTACCAGCTTCATTACAACACAAACAAAAGATAACTGCAAAATTTTAAAGCATTTCATTCAATAACCAATTCACAATTTCCTTTAGTTACATTTTCAGTTTTTTTTAAACCTCAAATTTCATAAAACAAAAATATATATCTCATTAAAAGCAGAAGTGTATTGACTACTTTCTATTTCATTTTAAAATTACTGAATTCCATACAAAGCAAAGGTAAATACTGATTTATAAATTTCCTCTTCTTATATGAGAGACATTTAGAACAGCTAACATTATTGGAACTCCACAGCACTTATTAATCACAGAACTGCTAAAGGGGCAAAAAATAAGGTTACGTTGAACGTATGACAAACGTAAGGCAAAATCTTTCAATAAATTCTAAATAAATTATAGAGATAGATTTGATAGTCTGTAATACACCCAATCAAATTCTTAGTTTCTCCTTTTATACTGATAATAACAATAGAAAATTTTTTCAGAATTATTTCAAACTGAACATATTTTTTATCTAATGAAAGCATTTAATCATTGGAAATTTAACTTACATTTTATTTTTTCGGGTTCTTCTCCTCTTGTTAAAAGAACTAATCCACATAAAAGGTCTTTGAAACTTATGCCTTTACTAGTACCACCACAAGCTTGAAAAATATACTAAAAGAAAGAAAAAATTAAATAAAAGATATTGAATGACTGAGTTTAGTAGTTAGCTAAACCTTAAATCATAACTTATATTAGCATTATTTAATGAGCTATAAAAATTAATTAATATTAATATTTTAAAGGCAAAATATAAACTTTCTAAGTATTTCTAAAATTTTATAATCACAGTTCGTAGAACTTTAAGAATCCTCCTATTATAGTAACAATTTTAACTACCACAGATAGAATACTATTTTAACATCTATTACTCTACAAAAGGATTCTCCAACTGCTCATTAAAACATTTTTATGTTGAACACAAACCAGAGTTCTTAACAGTTTGAACCATGAAATGCCAAAAAACCTATACAATGATTGCATTTGTGTATTGGTATAAATATTATTATTTAAATTTATAATATTACATTGCATGTTGCATTTAAGATAAAATATTAAAAACAAATTTTCTTAAACAATTTAACGTACATTGAAGTAAATATATTGAAAAAATAAATGTAATTTTCAGACTTTTTAGAATATTTATTATAATAAAATGTAAGTTTTTTTCTTTTTAGAATTTTTTGTCAATTAAGTTTTTTAAAAAAAACTTTATGTTTTGAGTTAAATTGTATGCAGCCGAAGGCTTTAAAATTTACAAATTTTTTTTTTTTTAACCATAATGACGAAAAAAAATATTTCAATAGAATGAAAACTAAAATAAGAATTGCGCTACATTTTTTATTTCATTACATCTAATTAAAAATATCTTGAGAAGATGAGGGATCTAAAAAAACTGACAATAAAAGAAAAAAGGAATTTTTATTAAGTGAAACATATTTTATTTTATATTTGCACAATAGTATTCACATATCAGTTTATATCTATACATAAATTTAATTTTTTAAATCAAAACTTCCCATGCATTATGAATGCTTAACTACTATGTTAGTTTTTTGATGGCTTTAACTAGTTTTTGATGTCAGACTCTAAAAAACCCCTTCTGATATTTGGACATTCATCAAAACAAAGTTAAGTAAAATTGGTTATTTTAGAAAGAAAAAAAAAAACTATTTTTACTCAACTTCGAAACTACACCAAATAGGAAACTTGATTTTGTTCTGAAATTAAATTGAAAGGGCAAATAATGTGCCTTTTGACAATTGGGAAAGTAAAGTGAAAGTAGAAAAAAAAAAATTTATTTTCAATTTTCCCTCTATTTTCCAGGTAGAAAACTTTATCTTCTTCCAAAATTGTAATGAAAGAGCAAACAAAGTGATTTGCCCCTTCTAAAATTCCATTTCAATGTGCAAGTAAAGAAAGTCAAGAAATATTTCATCTTTGAAGCTATTTTCCAAGTAGAAAACATATTTTTTTCTGAAATTAAAGTTAGGGGGCAAAAAATGTGCTTCGTCTTTCAGAAATTTAAGACACTTGCAAAAATAAAGTCAAGTAAAATTAATAATTTTAGGAAAAAGAACTTTTTTTTTCAACTTTAAAGCTATTTTCCAAATAAATTTTTTATTTTCCTCTCAAATTAAGATGAAGGGGTAAAAAATGTAATTAGCCCTTTCTGAAATTTAGACATTCAGGAAAATAAAGTCAAGAAAAATTGATAATTTCCGAATAACAAAATGTTTTTTTTCAACTTTGGAGCTATTTTCCAAATAGAAAACTCATTTTTCACTTAAATTTAAGTGTGGGTGGGTGAAAAATGTGTTTTGTTTCTTCTGAAATTTACGCATTCGCGAAAATAAAATCAAGTAAAAATTGGTAATTTTAGACAATTTTTTAGAAAAGTTATTTTTCAAACAGAAAACTTTATTTGCCTCTAAAATAAAAGCTAACCCCTTCCTTCTCTCTCCCGTGAAAATGACGGGGTGAGGTTTCGCCCTCTATTTCTCGCCTCCATGATATTGAGGGCTGGAGTGTTCAGTAGTAACGTGCCAATAAGAATAAAACTAATTCATTTCTTATTTTATTTCTCATTTTACACACCAGATGGAAGTACCAGGATATTTTTAAGGTAATTGTAGATAGTTAGTTTACCTTAAACTAGATGACAGCACTAATCAAATACGTAATACAATTACAAAAGTAAAAAAAAATAGGCACTTTTATGACCGTTTTCTTGAAAATTAACTGATCGGTAAGGGGTAAAGTGGGGGGAAATCTGTTTCGCATCTTATGAAATTTAGACATTCACAGAATTATAATTTTCTGAAAAAGTTTTTTTTTTCTTCTTTTTTTTTCAACTTCGAAGCTATTTTCCAAATAGAAAACTTTATTTTCCTCTTAAAATAAGAGGGGACAAAAGAACGTGCTTTGCATCTTCTGAAATTCAGGCATTCACAATAATAAAATAATAAAAGCAAATAAAATTGATTATTTAAAAAAAAAATTTCAGTTATGAAGTTATTTCTCTCTATAATTAAAGTGAGTGGCAAAAAATTTGCTTCACATCTTCTGAAATTTAAGCAATCATGATATAAAATCAAGTAAAATTGGTAATTTCAGGGAGAAAAAAATATTTTTTTCCTACTTCAATGCTATTTTTTCCAAATAGTAAACTTTATTTTTCTCATCAATAAAAGTGAAGGGTGAAAAATTCTGCTTCAAAATTTCTGAAATTTACACATTCACGAAAGCAAAGTCAAGTAAAATTGGCAATTTTTTGGGGGAAAAAAAACTTTTTCTCAACTTTAAACCTATTCTGCAAACAGAAATTTTTTATTTTCTTCTTAAATTAAAGTGAAGGGACAAAGAATGTACTTAACCCCTTCTGATATTCAGACATTCGTGAAAATAAAGTCAAGTAAAATTAGTATTCAACTCTTTTTTCCAAATAGAAAACTTTATTTTCCTCTAAAATTTAATTGATGAGGAAGATATTGTGCATCACCCCTTCTAAAACTTTGGCGTTCTTTACAAGAAAGTAAAATAAAATTGGTAATTTCAAAAAAAGAAATTACTTTTTTTTCAACTTTGTAGCTATAAATTTCCACCCTCCATCAAATAATATATGAATTTTTTGCAACTAAACTCTTTAAATATAAACTTAAGATACTAAAGAGTACATTTCTTTTCCTTTTGCACCTCAGCTCTAAAGACTTATTTAATTAATGAACTGAAAAGACCACCTAGTAATGACAGATTTGACACTTTCAACTGTATGTTTGAGTAACAACTTTCTCTTAAAAATTTAATTCACAGTGAAATTGTATAAGAAACTAAAACAAAATTTTAGGTTTACCAATTATAACAATAATGAAAAAAAAAACACACTTACTTCAGCAAGTTTTAAAGGTACAAACTCTCCTAGCACATCTTTAATGAAGCCAGGTTTTGTTATAACACAATTTAAATTAGCTGATCGCTTGAAAGCATCTTTCAATCTACGTAATTCAGCATCAGTTACTGAAATGAAAAATAATTTATTTAATTACAAACTAAAAGAAATAAAATGTCATTCAATAAAATATAAATAAGTGTCAAATAAAGAGCTAAAAATGAACTAAACAAGAAGAAAAAAAAAATTTCTCTATAATATGTTTTAATTTGTTTTAATTTTGAAAATTTATTTTAAAGATCTTTGCAAAACAAACATTTTTTTAAAAATTTTCAAATTTTTTTTCCATACCCTTAATATGGATAATAAAGGTGGAAAAAATTTTACTGATTTTACACTGTGTCATATTTATAAAATAATAAAGAAAAATCATACATTCATTCCTTTATACTTCATGTATTAAAAAAAGTAAAAATTATTCGATTATTTATTAAATTTAAAAATTTATTAATCTTTAAGCAATGCTTTTGAGCAATTTCAAAACTTTTTAGAAATAAAACACAAAATATTTAATATTAGACATTAGAAGTTAAATAGTCGTAAAAAAATTAAACTATAATGTGCTTTGACGAGATTTATGATAATTTTGTATTTTTGACTTATTTCGATGAAACATAATCATAATTGAATAAGTAATTAAAGCAAATTAAACTATGGTAAACAAAAGACTTTTGAATGAATTGAATGTGCATTTCCTACCATGTTATTTCTTTCAGGGCTCGAAAAACCGCCCGTCCTTGGTGGTCAAAAGTTCCCCGTGGGACGAATTTTTTGAATCCGACGCCCGCGCGGACGGGCATTTTCCCGTTAATGTTAGTGATACATTTTCTATATGATGATACATTTTCAGTATTTGCATTACTGTATAATGTAATCCTAGTAACTACTAATTCATTGTGCAATTTATATAAATGTTTGTAATAAATAAGAGAAAATTATATTTTTATTTATTTAGAAGCTATGGGTTAGTTTCAAAGGAGGACGGGTATATTGTTGGACAAGCCGTCCTCAGGGAAGGGTAAAATTTCTGAGTTTTTTTTAGCCCTGATTTCTTTATTCATATATTTCCCATTTTCCTGAATTTGGCTATGCAGGTTATGGAAAGTTCTAGTTTGTGTGCTTTTAAGAGGATGCATTCATAATTTCTAAGTATAGTAACAACTTAGAGTAGAAACTATAAAATATTTTAACATTAATAAATTTCATAAATTTTCAGCCAGAATTATTAATCCTATTAACTTTTCATTATAAATTGTTAACGCTGTATTATAAAGCATGTTATTAAATAAATAAATAAAAAAAAGCAATACGAGTGACAGATTATCAAATAAAATTTATAGTGAAAAATAATTCACTTAGCAGCTGTTTCATATATAAGTACGTTAACACACTAAATATGTTTCCTTTAATGATTTCAAAATGTGTTGAACTCATTACTAAAGTCAAGGTTGAAATTCGATAAAAATTTTATTTTAACATCTCTCATAAAGATGTATGATTTTTGAAATTTTATCATGGATGATAACATGGTTTTTAAATCTCCATTTATGAAAAGAAATACAAATAATTTCAGATATCAAAAATAATAATGCTTACTATTTTAATATTTTGGTAGAGGTATATAGATGTAAGTCGGGTAAACATCCAGTGAGTAGGGTATTTATAAATAGGTATTTACCCCAGTCTTTGGTAAATACCCAAAATCAGGGTTTTTATAATTTGTCCTATTTAAAACATGTAACCATCATTTGTCTTGCTTATAGTTTTGAACACAATATAACATCTTTACTTTTTAAAAATGAAGATTAAAACTCTATATCAATTCCAGAAAAAATATTTCAAACTATGAATACCCAGTAGAGGAACTACATCATTACATTAAAAAATAATGTGAAAAGATTTGCATTGTGCAATATCACAATGTAGACTTAATGTTAGGTAAGTGAAAATTTAGATTTAAAAAAAAAAAAATTTCTGAGACAATAGTATAAACTGGATGAAATAGAATAAGCATAGGTAATGAGCTAAAAATTTCGTAAGTTTGTTCCTTTCTATCAATTTTATAAATTTAAATAATATAACTAAAACTAGAAATTTCATAAATTTTTAAAAAAATAATAATAAATATACAACTATTTTATTTAAAATTAATAAGTTTCTTTTTTAATGTTTAAAATCATTTGGTATTTTGTTTAAATAGTTTTTCCTGCATCGTATTAGAAACAATAAAAATGATTTTTTTTTAAAAAAAATCTTTCATATTTTAGTAAAATTTTTAAAATTTCAGTTTCAACAATAAAAAAAATAACAAATAAATAAATAAATAAAAAAAAAATACTGAACTATGCAATTTAACTTTCATATCAATGAACTATTTTGCAAACTATGAGCAAAATAATTTTTAACCTTTAGAATGCAAAACAATTGAACATGAGGTAATATAGTATTATTTGTTAGCTATAATAATAGTTGTAAGACTAATTAAAAACAAAGTATGATAAAAGACAAACATCTTTATTGAGGGCGAACTGAACTTCGACTCACAAACTGGGATCTCAATCTATAAGATGGTAAGAGAGTCAAAAGTTCAGTCTATCAGGTGGACAAACAATTTGGCTGGAACGGGTATTCACGAGATAAAAATGAGAAGCAGGCAAATATGGATATTCATTTCGAAGGCTGTCATTTGTGAGCTGGCTGTCTCACAGAAAGGGATGGCAAAGTGGTTGGATTTAACACCACTTCACAATCCACAAGAATATTAGCTTCGGTGGTAAGTAACACTTCAATCTTATAGTGGTATATCCCTCCTTCAAGAGTGGATATAATACTGGATGCTTCTGTAGTTGAAACAACTGTAGCAGGAACCCACTTTCAATTATCTATTTTGAACTTTACCACACCACCCTCCACAAAACAAGGTGAACAGTTTTTTAATGAAGTTGTAAAATTTTGTCACTGTTTCTCCTTAGCCTGCTGAAAGGAAACTGTTGTAGTCAATCGTTGTAAACGTTTAGCTGGATGTAATAGAACAAGTGTACGAGAAGGTTGACCAAAAAGTCGTTCACCAGGAGAAGGCAAACCTTGTCTTGGGAGTATTTCTAGTAAGTTCAGAAGTGCTAATCTATAGTCACTTCTTTCTATCTTGCATCTTTTTAAAATTATTGCAGTTTGGACGTTATCTTTCTGCTAGCCTGTTAGATTTCAGATATCTAGGGCTTGAAGTTAGTAACTTAATTCTCCATTCACGTGCAAATTTTCGAAAAAGGTGGGATCTATACTGTGATCCATTATCAGTGTCCAAAACATTGGGGATTCCATTAGTAGTGAATGAAGTCTTTAAATAATTAATGACATTTTCAGAATTCGAATGATTTAACTACTTAAAATCGAACAAACCAGAATAACTGTCAATTATTAGGCAGAATGTTATGCCCTCAATTTCAAATAAATCTGTGGCTACTCTTTGCCAAGGAGATTGAGGAACTGGTTTTCTCAGCAACAGTTCTGTTTTGGGAGCAGATGATGTTTGTTGGCAAACAGCACACTGCAGTACACATTCTTCAATGTCTTTGGACATTTCATGCCAAAAAATGATTTCACGTGCACAATGTAAAAAAAGGTTGATTCCAAAATATCCCAGAAAAATATACTTCAAATACTTACTGTGTAAAGTCTCAGGTATGATAAGACGTTCAGCTTTAAAAAGTAGATTTTCATATGAAGACAATTCTTCTCAATAATTCAAATATTTACTATATAATCACGGGAACTTCAATAACTGTTTCAGGTCAGCCATTCATAATTGCAGATTTTAATTGTTGCAATTCATTATCTTTATGAACAACACTCACTAGGTCGGTTGAAGTCGGGGACAGCGGTAAGCATAGGACGACTACAAAGGTCTCAACATCTTCATATTCAGATGATTCTAAGACATGAATTACACAGTTACGACTAAGAGCATCAGGCATTGGTATCCGTGAGCCATGTTTATAAATTATTTGTGGAGAATACCCGAGCACATCAAATAATATACGCTGTAAATGAGCTGGAGCCAAATGTAATGGGTTGTTAGCGATTGCTTTGAATGGTCGTCTAATGAGTCGTTTAAATGATTCGTCTCAATAATTACTGGTTTAATGTAAATATAGTCATGAAATTCCTTACATCTGTGTAACATAGCATGTGTCAGAAGTTCTTTCAGTTACACAGAGCTGCCAAAACACTCTCTTCACTCTGAGCACTGTGAAAAATCTGGCATTTCCTGCATGTGCAGCAATGTCTTCTACTGTTTTAAGTGGAAAGAGACGACTCTTAATTACTTTGTTTAAATCAGATGGATCCACACGAATACGCACTTTGTCATCCTTTTTTTACTATCACTAATGGACTATTAATTTGTGTAGGATGCGTAACTGGTCTTAAATACTAAATTTAACCATAGAATCTATTTCCCTTTTTACTATGTCTCATAATTATGGTATTTTATGGGGTGAGTGTTTTAGTAAAGTTTGCATCTTCCCGAAACTCAATTGTCACATTAGAATTTTTTTATGCAGTTAATACCGTCGAATATTTTGTTTGGACATTTTATTTTACATTAATTCTTCTAATTCAATATTTCTTTTAATTAAACCAAGTTCTTCATGCCAGTATACAACAAAATCACCATGAACCACAATTAATTTAAGGTTTGCATATTGTTTATTTACTGTGTACAAATTACTTGTACTTCTCCCAATATTAGTAAATAGCTACCACTAAATTAATTATATTTTCTAACACTTGATCTTTTAAGTGGAAGACCTGGTTTATTTACTACGGACTTCGTACACAAACCAGTAATTCTATTGTTATCATTATCAACATTATTCAATAATTCATCTATATATAATGTATCACAAGCTAAATCCTCAACACTATCAATATCTTAAATATTATCTTCTTTCAATAATTTGCGAACTTTTCTTTTATGCGCATGAGTATATCATACTTGAAATTTACACTGTTGTGCATAATGTCCTTTCTTAGCATACGCCAGATAGGTAATATTAAATGCTGGACAATATCCAAACTCATTCGTCAAATTACAACATCAACATAAGTTCCTTAATTCTTCCTACTCATGGTTTAGTACTATCAAATTTTATGACCTGTTTCAATTTTGAGCATTTACTTCTTTTCTAAACTAATGCATACCTTTCAAGTGATTAGTAGCTTGTTCACTAGCCATACAAACTTCAATAGCTTTATTTAATGTTAGTTCACTCTCGATAAACAATATTTCCCTAATCTTATCTGAAAAAATTCCTCTTACAACTTGCAAAGTTCCAAAATTAAAAGTTCCGTGTTTACCTTATAGACATAAATATCGCTACATGAATTTCTGGCTCTTTGCCAGACAACCTAATGGCCGTAGCATAAAACTCAAAACGCTGTTTCCACACCTTCCACTTGACTGAGATTCTATCTTTGGTAATATCTAGTTCCTGTAGCAAATGTGCAAAACTTGAAGCACGAAACTTGAAGTTGCCCGGCATGGTTCCATCAAAACTTCTGACACCATGTAGTTTTATTTGTTAGCTATAATAATACTTGTAAGATTAATTAAAAATAAAGTTTGCTAAAAAACAAACATCTTTATTGACGGAGCTAGGCGATATGAGCTACTAGGTGTTGCCAAAACACAATAAGGAATAATGATGTTCCGGATGTCACATGATAGGCAGTTATTATTTAAAAATTATCAAATATGACCGAGTTAAATTTATTAAGATCTTACATTCTATTTTCAATTCTATGCAAAATATTGATTTTGAAATATTGTTCCAAGTTTTTAATTAAATTTGCAACATTTTATTTTTATTAAATATTTCTTTAAATTAAAATGTCTTGCGGCTTTCAATAAAAATACATCTTGTAATGGACAATATGAAAAATTTCATCAGTTTTTAAAGATAAGTTTTTCTCTAATGTTTATTTATACAAATAAGTAAAGAAGATAAACTTCCGGAATTTCTAATCTATCAAGTATTATTTTAAAGTTATATCAGTTAGGAATAAAGGATATTTGCAAATAAATTTTGGTTCAGATAAATTATTATATATTTTTGTGTTTTTGCTATCTATCTCACTTGCTATATCCTAATCAGACTTAAAATCATAGTATTTAATTCATTAAAAACATCTTTTTACAAAAAAAAATTTATAAATAATTTTTTCATTTACGAAAGTGTAATTAAATTCCAGCTCTCTAAAACAATAGGTTAATATATATCTGACTTATATTTCATGTAATAAATAAAATATGAAAATCTTTATTTTGAGTTATTTAATAAGTTAAATCATTTAATTTTAAATACAGAAAAAAATAGTTGTTCCCCTTCCCCCAGAACAGTTTTTTTAAAAGGGCAGAAGCATAAAAACCTATTAAATCTAACATGCACAAATATTGAAACATGCAGGCTAGCATTAGCCTATATTTTTTCCCTTTTGAAAATCCTATTAACATTAAACTCTTATATTTTTAATCAATTACTAATAACAATATAAAAACTCAAAAATTTACAGCCAATTTAAAAAAATTAAACTTTATTGTTTAGATATCATTACATCACAACTAAATAAGGATCCTAAAAGGATTACATATTATTCACATGTGCAGCTAAGGTTTTATATGATAAATTTTCAAAAACAAATTACTTAATATCTGGAAAAAAAATTGTATTTTGAAGACGTATTTTTGACAAAACTTTCCTAGTTTTGTAACAACAAATACCATAAATTGAAATGTCAACTTCAGGATGATTAAATTAAAGCCACTTAAAAAAAAAAAACTAACATACAATGATTCCAGTAATTTACATGTTCAATTAAAGGAATTTTTCTTCTTAGTAAATGACTAATTAACTATTGAGAATATAAGCAAAACTTATTAGTACTTTAAATATATATAATTTTGTAAAATCCAAGAGAAAGAGATGCTCATTGAATTTTCAAAAAAATTCAAAAATACCAAGATACTAGTGAATTTTGGGTATTTACCCAGGGTTCTACTCCAAAATAATTAAAACCTGAGTATTTTACATTTACAGGTATCAAACTTGTTAGCTTTTTAAAACTGATATAGAATGCATTTATTTTTTAAGCACAAAAGCGATAAGCCCAAATTATCTATTATGAAATACTTTATAACATATACAACTTATACTTTATAACGTAACAACTCTGAATGACCGAAATTGGCGATCGTTGACTTGATGCCACGGGCTGTTATCAGAAAATGTTGACAATCACATAGTAACATTGGTAAATGTCCAAAATATATACTAGGTCTAGTTTGCCACTGCCCGGTACACATTTGCTCAATATGCCCTACATCAATGTTTTTTTAAAGGCTCATTGCCATTGCCCGGTATACCCTACACTACACTGTTTTTTTAAAGTTCCCCAATATCCATTTAACCGGTACTCCAAACACTGATGTTTCTCCTACTCTATCATCATCAGATATTAAAATATTGATAACAGAAAGTGAGAGAATGATTCATTGACTCTGCTGATCTGTTCTTAAATTCAAATACTCCAGTATACATTTGCAACACACACCCAATACAGATTTTTTTTTTTAATATTAAGAACTACTGTGTTTAGTTACTTTAATTTATGTATCTATAATGCTTAGATAAGTAGGGTATTTTCAGATCAGCAACACTGAAACAATTATGTTTTTGGAGACATTTTGCTTTTAATTTAATTGCAGAAAGAGCTGATTACTATGGAAATTGTTTGAATTAAGAAGATCAATGTTCAGTGTTTTCATTACAGCGCGAGAATCTCGCATATTTTTTTCTTTTCTCGCATTAAAAAATAATTACAGAGAGAAATTCGCACATTCTATAAATCAATTTCAAAATTCGCGAATTTCTCGCCTTTTGGAAAAAGCTTCAAATTACGCCATTTAGAATAAAATCCGTTTCACTTTTCTTCTTGGATCTTTCATTATTTTCAACATCTGCCCCGTTATCTAGCTCCCCTATTTACCAGTATTGTTCAGAACCTTTTCGAACAACAGAACACAACCACGGAACCNCGTTATCTAGCTTCCCTATTTACCAGTATTGTTCAGAACCTTTTTGAACAACAGAACACAACCACACAGCCTCTTTCAGAACACATTTCTCTGCAACCACGTGTTTACTGTAGGTAAGGTTTCTTCATGTAAAAGGTTCAAATTTTTTATGCACTAATGTAAGATGGACAAATACCTTGTAAGGGCAAAATCTTCTATGATGATGCACCAAAAATATTCAATGCTTTAAAAAAAAGATGTTAAAAATGTATTATAATTAAAGAAATGATTTTTTTTCAAGAATTTTTTAGTTTTTAGAAATCTCACTTAACTTTTTGGATTCTCACCCTGTTTTTGAGAAAGGGTAAAAAATTCTGACCCATTTTTTTTCTATGATGAAAACACTGAAAGCAATATAAAATTGATATTTTTGCTGGATTTTATTCAAATGTTCTTAATAATTTAATTATTTTTATTACAAATAATAAGTAACCAAAAGTATATTTTGTGTTTCAAAATATTTTTTAAAATTTTTTTAAAAACATTAATGGTGATTTGTTCCAGTTATATATTACCATGGATAGATGTAAAATTTAATGATACATGAAATGATCTATCTAACACAAAAATTGCANCTCACCCTGTTTTTGAGAAAGGGTGAGAAATTCTCACCCATTTTTTTTGTATGATGAAAACACTGATGTTGTATAAAAAAAATGGCTGTGATCTTGATTTTGTAGTTAGAACATTTGATTACATTAGTGCGCTTAATAGATTTGATGAATGAAACACTGATGGATTCGATAAAAGAATGTCATGAGCCTAAAAAAGATTTCAAAAACGAATTTGATGTGAGTTATTACATATGATTAATTTTCCTGTTTTGTTATTTTAAGTAAATTACTTTTTAATTATAAATCTACATTTTTCCATGATTATTGTTTTTAAGTTTAAGTCTTAATAATGGTTTACTTTTTTTAAAATCTGGTTTCCTACTTGTCGTTTTTCTAATATTATATTTCATATTTCTTTATATCAATTTTCTTAGAATGTATATTAAAATTTAATGAATCTATTAAAGAAATAATAGATTTATATATACTATTTGTACATAACTAAAATAAGCGATACTTTCAACCTAATGGTTAATAAAATGGAAAATCATTTTGAAGAAATTTTGTAGCAAAAAATATTCCGATTCATTTTTTTGTTAAGATATGAATATAAATTATTTTTAAAAGAAATTAACAAATATTCAAGAATTATTTAAATATCAAACATGAACATTCCTTTTTAGAGAAGATATTTTATTAGACTAAAATAGCCAAATAGGAATCGGTTTCTAAAAAAGCGAGGATTTTATGTTTCCCTAAACAGAAACTACACTGCTATTGACAATTAAAATGTTCGATTTAAATCCTATTAGACTTATACTGTTGCATAGCTGTTAGAAATTATGTTGCCGAAGTCTATTAAATATATTCAGCATTTTAAGAGTTTCAAAATAAATTTTATTTTATGTCTATATACGACTCTGCAAGTTTGTACAAACGCATTCTGTCGAATTTGTTGAGCAACATATCAATATTTATCATTTATTAGCTGTATATTTTTGTAGTGACTTTTTGGTATATTTTACTTTATAAACACAATGAACTTGTCATTTCAATCTTTAAAAATAAGTGATCCATGACGTTAAGCCTAGTAGGCCACTGGGTTATGGGGCGATAAAAGATATTTAATTTAAACCACCCAAATCGCAAATGTGACCCACCTCTTTTGACTGCTTCTTCATATGATATACAACAAGGTTTAGAGTCCTTCGCTCCCATTTTAAATAACGAAAATTCGTCATTTAAATGAGATTAAAATTTATCATTTAGAACATTCGTAATAAATTTCGTCTGCACGGTCTGCACTCTGCTTTCCAAAACACCAATCACGAAATAAACAACAGTCAAAGACATGCCAGTTTCAGTAATCACATGACTTACTTTAATAAAAACTGGATTGAGGCCTTACGTATAACAATAGAAAAATTCTATAGATTTAACGTGACATCTTATGGGTATTTAAGAAAGCTATATAAAAGGTACTTACTGTTAACAAATAACTATTCTATGGGTCCCATCAGTGGAAAAAATTCAGGGATTCAGAGAGTTAGGACTTTCTTTTTGGAAAGTAATAATTCGAAATCAATATTAATATGTAATTTATTAAATAATTTGGATGTTTTATTTAAAATTTAAGTAACGTGACAGTGAGAAAAGAAATAGCATTTTTTTTTTAAAAAAAGAAGAAAATCCAATAATAAGGTTTCAAATAAATTAGAAAGAGGAAGTACAGAAGTTTCTCTCTTGATTTTCAAATAGATCAAGAACTTATAAATTAGGAAACTATATGGAACTGAAAACTACATTGAACATAGTAGTTCTATAAGAAAGCGTCATGGAAATTGTAAAAAATATTTGTGACAATTAAATACGGAAAATATTAAGAAAAAGGAAAATATCGTAGTACATTCCTATGCAACTGAAATAAGAAGGATCAAGACATGAAACCGATCTCCTCCTCAGATGGCGTATTCGAGCGTTGCGATTGAGCATTAAAAATTGCATCAATATTTTTTATTGAACTTTTCAATTCAAACTTGAATTGTGGTGCGCAGGAGCAATAACATAACAAGCATTTAAATTTAGTTTTATGAAAAATAAAAACAAAGTGTTGTTAAGACAACTTAATAATAATTACTATCTAGACGTTCCAGACATTGGGATGTAAAAGTATTAATGGATTTATATATTTTATATTAACTTGTAAATAACTGTGTATATTAAATGTTGTGATGTCTCCAATTTACTTCGTTTTTATTTAGCCAAAATCGCACATGGTAGGAAGATAGAAAACCCTCCCTTACAGAATAACCAAATTCAAGATAAAGAATTATATGTTTCGTTGATAACCATTCTCTACGTCTAAAGCAGTTTGCAGCGGATCGTCTCGCCACTACGACGATAACGAACTATCCTGAAATGCCGGTTTAGCACGAGCGATTAATTCTCACTTGGGCCGGATCACGCTATTGGTCGAAAATGACATCACTGTTTGGGGAAGAGACATGCTGTGTATTGCATAGTATTTTGGCGACAGATTTTATATTTAGTTTTCAAATGCGCTCTATTTACACCGGTATTAATGTTGAGTAATAAAGACAATATTCACATTTTGCACAGTTTTGTGGTAATTTTTTATTAGAATCTAAGTGAAATTAAACTATACTGCTTTTACGTCATTAGCAACTGGGGCTGTTCTAGAAATGCAGGGGGGGGGGGGCTAGCCCAGAATTTTGGTCATTACTTTAAACAAAATTTACGTGTTGCTTGATTATGAAGTTTTTAAAATTATTCATAACACAACTAAATTGCAATGTATAAGTAAATTTGAGCTTATGTTTATTTCAATTTTTGTTACTTCATAACTGCAAAAGATAATTCTTAAGGAAAAACAAACAAAACAAAAAAACGTATTCGTAATATTACTATACCATCTTATACAAAACATTTATTATTTTTAGCTTTGATGAATTTAAATAAATTAAAACATAAATATTGTCTGAAATGCTGAAGTGGACATTTACCTATCTCCCCACCCTAACGACGACATAATATTACGTAAACATTTACAAGGAATAAATAAATTCCGAGCGAGGAAGTGTGCATACGAAATTTGTCGCCAAACTAATACAAACACCAGCCAACAGCCACCATCTCCCTTCCCCCAAACAGTGATGTCATTTTCGACCAATAGCGTGATCCGGCCCAAGTGAGAATTAATCGCTCGTGGTTTACCGTGAACATTCAAAGTTGGCAACCCTGCCGCAGAGACAGTTTTCCTCCCTTCGTTTTCTCCCATTCGGGTTACAGCTTCGACCAGTGTATCGACATCTTCTTCACGTTTGTGCTAAGGCGCGCGTTTATTTATTCAGAATGTAAAACTTACTCATTTCTTATTTCATTAAATATGTTTAACTTTTTATCTATGACTGGCATACATTAATTTCCCTTTAGATGTTTATTTAACTATTTAATCTTTACCCAGGTAGCAAAAAGATATGATCTAATATCAGAAAGATGCAATAAAATACTGCCGTGCTAGAAAACGCAATACTCTTGAATCCTATCTTCTAATAGTAACATTCGAACTTTCAAAATAATCATCTATTTCATTACTTTTGGTACACTGCCCCATTTTGGCGAAAGGTTATCCCATATTATTAATAAAAAAAACAATTATTTATGAAAGAAAACAATAAATGAAATATTAATAAAAATATCAGTTTTAGACAATGTAATTTTATGCGAAAAAGCACAAGATAATATTAGCAGGGCAGAAGTTAGCTCAGTTCAGTGTTGCCAGATTGGGCTACAAGTCGGATTGGGCTACTTTTAAAAGTCCCCGCTACTGAAAATTGAATTTTCGCTACTTGCTACTTTTTGGGCTACTTATTATTTTTCGAACGCTACAAATCTTAAATATGCGCTACTTTTTTTCCTTACTGAAGGCTAGGAGGCTTCGCCCCCTGCTCTCTGGCGCTCGCTAACCCCCGGAACTGCTTTCGCAGTTCATTTCGG